CCGGAAATAGCTACGGCTTGATCACATATCCTCTACCAAAGTATCCACAAGGGATACCTACCTCCTCGGACGCCACCGTCGATAGCGAAACTCCCCGCGATAGACTAGCTACGCGCACCTTTGCCATTGTTAGGACCGAACCAGATGAAAACCCGTGGGATCTCGGGTACACTAGAAACTGGACGTCCATTATGGGGTATTCCTTGATCGACTGGCTTTTGCCCATACGCGGGTCACCATGCGCCAATCACGATAGCATGGAGAGTGACTACGAGATGGGCCCGTTGATACAAACGCTCAGAGAACGGCACGGTCTACCTGACCCAAGTGGTCCATCGGGCGGAATGGAGATGCAGGAGCTGAGAGATAGCGATCGGTGACCGAGGCCTGAGCATATTGAGCGGCCTTTGCAAATTTCGGCGTTAACAGGGGTTGGGCAATTCAGGGGGCGGCGTTCTATCTTCGTTTATGTGCCAATATGCACACACCTACACACATACGTAACTAACGTTAAGCCTTCTTATGTAGTAACTAATTCAGTATATGGAAACTCGGGCAGATCAGCTCCGGCTTTCACGCGCTGTTGGGATGTCTTACACCAGGGCCTTCTGATGTACGGCCAGATTCAGTAGGAACATCCGGACGACTGACACTCCAGCAACCATCTTGTAGACTTATTCTGGGAGTGTTCAACGTTCACGCGGACCGGCCGATCTAGGAGATCCACCGGGCCGAAGAAGCGTCCACCGAACGGCGGCGGAAAGGGTGGGGCCGATCTGATGTCTCGTAGCTGCCCTATGCCCAAGACATCATGAACTTGTTCCACGGCTCCTGCCATTACATACGACCATACCCATTGGAAAACTCGGGATCCCGTCCGCTCTCCCATAGATAAGCCAATGAGGGCCGGATTAGTAGTTGGGTCGGTGACGACCAGCGAATACCTGGTGTTGTATGTTTTTGATGTTTTTGTGAAGATATCGTGATTGTGGTGGGTGACGATGTCGTGATATCCTTCATGTCATCGGTTGGGGTTGCTTGGCGGTAGCTTTTGAATTTGTGGCACGGACGCTAGACATCTCTTTGGTGCCCCTGTCACCCTTCTTTATGTGTCTGTATGATAGATTCTTGGCCGTACTTGAATCGATCGAAGAAGACTCTACGAATGAAGGAAGGGTGCAACGAGGGGGGACAGATATTCACACTCTTGGACTACTTTCATGTTGTAGATGGACTTCGAATTATAAAAGCAGGCCATTTCCTCTTCGTTTATCATGGCACGTCCGTGCCGAAGTACCTATCTCAAACTCCAAACTCCAGCCTCCTTGCCAATCGTGAAATCCTCCATGCCGTAGCAGTTGCTGTGATCCTGCATCAAATTGAAACCTCCGCGTACCTAACACCCTAAGCCAGACACGCGGAACTCGGAACTTCAATCTGGGTCTGAACAGTCGTCACACTTTGTGTGATTACAAGGCGTTGCGTTGCACTTCATATTGTCGTTCTCATCCGTCCCACATAGCTCGCTGTTGTTGTTCTCGCTGCACTCGCAGCACTTCCAAGACCCTTCGGGCATGGACTTTGTGCTGTTGGGAGGGAGCTCCGACGTGTCGGAGTCGTTGCCATCGTCGGACCTAAGAGAGTGCCGGTTAGTTTATGGTTCAGAGAGAAGGAAAACTAGTTCGCTGACTTACATATTGTATGATTCGAGTCTGAAAGATCTGAGAGCCACGGAGACAGACTTCGAAACAGATTGAGAGATTGACTGCGATTCAGGTCGAACAGGTCGGGCTTGGTGAAAAACAGAATAGAAAGAGCGTGTATCGTTCGATACAGCTTGATATGGAGTAGTGATACAAGTGGTCTATGTCTAAGAAGGTGATAAAGATGAGATGGACAAAAACACTTATTTGCTTCGACATATTCTTTGAACCATAGCAACAGGTCTCTAGACTCATTATATATGTGATCAACTTCTACCATATTTAGATAACACTGAAGGCGGACGCCTGCCTTCCGCATCTTCAGCACCAGCACTCCAGTCTCAGATCAGAGAATCGGTTTAGATCGCTTTGCGCAGGTCTACCCCATGGCCGAGCTCCCTCGGACGTGGCTCAAAATGGCAATGATACATTCTTCCCGAACGAAACGTTCCTAGAAGAAGGTGTTGTTGGCCCCCGCTCGTAGTTCCAACGTCCGATGGGTGTGCTGGATCTTGCGTCAGTCGTTCTATCTCGACTAGTATAGCATAGGGCTCCGAGACCAACCCCCACCCGCAATGCCAGAAGAAGCCATCTCAGCTCCGGAGAGATTTCCAAATAAGGACTTGAGAGGAAAAAAAGCGGTTCCTGACTGGTTGTCCCAGAGGTAAACATTGGAATCAACATTCTTGGGCTGACGCCGGTGATGCGGTTACGCCTGCTCTGCTACCCGCCGCATGTCTCGAGAGCCGCAGCGGGATGACCGAGCTCTTGGACTAGTAACATGGGGGCGGATCCTGCAGGCGGAGGGATAGGAGTGGGCCGTGTTAGGTGAATTTCTCAACTTCATCGCCGGCACTTGGGTTTGGCAACCAGTCAGCTACTATGCCGCGATACCGCGGGACGAGGACGAGACCGGGAGCCGACCCCAAAGATGACCATAGGGCCGTTGCCGTGGCTTACCTGTAAGGATAAGGCAATGCGGGACAAGGCAACGCTAACAATAGGGCAGCCTTATGGCTCACCTTGAAGCTTAGAGTTCAACAGAGGCAATCCTGCTGTTGTGTATGGTCGAGTACCGAAGGCACCTCGGCCTGCTTCCGTGCAGCTTTCGATTTCCTTCACCACTCCCCTCTGCCGAAAGATAGTGAGGGGTTTTCCATGTACGTCGCGCGCTTAACCCGGGGGTCCGTCATGATCGAGATCCAGGCCATCCATCTCGTAAACGTAGGGCTGAAGCGGGGTCGATATGTTGACTTCGGGATACTAATGTTTATTAGCAACAATGACTCGTTCTAAGACCTCTCCTAGTCCAAATGGACTAGCTTTGCGAAGGGACGGCGCCTTGTTCGAACCCCAGACAAGCCACTCCGTGAATTTTGCAGTGAATAGGGATTCCCACATTCCAGCCGAACGGTGGACCGCACAAGGTGGGTTTCAGGGTGACTGGGTGCCTGATAGTTTATACCAGCGAGACCCTCCGAAAGAAGCCTTGTGTCATGTCGTCGACTTCTGTGCAACCGAGCCTCCTACGAACGGCGGTGGTCAACGGAATCACGGGAACCCAGGTTCGACACGAGGAACTCCCGATCTGAACCACCAGATGTGTAGATGCCTAGCTGCATCGCATGAAGTATGGTAACCGTCATAGCATTACGTAGAGCGTGGGGTTACATATGGAAGCGAATTTGTGTCTTATCCTCCGTTAGTTGTGGTGGGATGCCTTGCCTTGTGGTCGACGGCAGCGAGGCTTTGCGGCCGGCGCAGTGTCATAACCAGTCTTGATGTGCGAGGAGATGTGCAGCCTGTTCTGCATTTCTCTCTTCTCATCAGATTGGACAATTAAACGCTAGGGCAGTAGACGCGGCATGCAGTCTCAGAATCGGAGGACGAGTGATGATCTCCGTGATCTGCCAGGTTAGTGAGAAGGTAGAACGTCTTGATGAGGTAGGTTTGTCATGAAGCTTAGTATAATAAGAGGTGAAGTGGGGAAACTAGATTGGATAGACTGACTTTGAGTTCTGTACCACCTACTTCTTTGGACAAACAATGTGCGAAATAGTGACTCGTAGCCTGCCGCTGATATCGTTGGGGTCGATTAGAGAACGATGTAGACGCAGCAGGCTCGTTGAACTCTCCAACTCGGACCATCTGGGGACGGTAGACCAGAAACAGAATATTCTCGGCTTGGGGACTGAGACAGAGCATCAAAGGTAGAAGAAACCATGATCCACTCAGTGATTCAGCTCGAGGAATTAGTGATGCTTCAAAGCTAGGCACGCGGCGTGCTTTAATTATGATCTTGCAGTCTCGTGTTGCCTTTGCGGCTGTTGCCTGATGGGCGCCTTTCTCATAGACTTATGAGGCGCTGGAAAGGCGCGCAATGTACGGAGCACTAGAGTAGGAATGTCTTGAAACGTATTTCTTGGCACGGCCGAGGCTGCGTCTTCCAAGAGCTGACATACGACACACCATCATAAAGGTTGCAACTGTGTGACCGCACCGCTCAGGACTGGTTCAAACGTTGAGGGAGGGCGAGGATGATGTTCACACGTGAAGAATTGAATCGGCATGTCCGAATTATAAGCTAGATATAGGGTAATGACGAAGAAGGATGCAGAGACGATCCTGATAGGGAACCAGTCAAGATGTAGATTTTGCACGAGCCTGATGATACTTGATAGCGGGCACAAGTAAGCGGACGAATGACGCAGCATCGCGGCGTAGCAATCTCCTCAATGGCGAATCGCACCCAATGAGTTCGTACAAGATGGGCTATTGTCCTCAAGGGACTCAACGACGAAGAAACCAGAGTAATGAAATGTCGATGAGACCAACTGGTATTGCAGCCGCATGTCATCGGACGATGAGATTGAGATGTAATGAAGCCTTTCCTCTTTGAAGTAGATGGGGCCGATGTCGTTGCAGGAGGTTGAAGGACGGGCGCTGCGAGCCCGGACGTCTGCGGTTCATCGTTGGCTAAAGGTGGATCCCATAGTACTGCTGACCAATCATGCTCTCAGTAAACCCTTACCTGTTGCCAGTGTACGTACCTAGCTTAGACAGACACTAAATGGCAGGCGCGTTTGCAGGCGCGTTTACCTCAACGACCTGCTAATCTCTGCGTATAAGAATTATCCGTGCAACATCACAACGACCATCTCATTCATTCCAGACAAACGGCTACGCTGTACTTTCGTGCTGTTGGAAAACGAGGGATCAAGCGAAAGTGGACGAGAAGGAGAAAGCTGTTCATCCACTTTGCTGTCAACGACGTCCAGTCCATGTCGACCCAAGGAATACGCCGTTGAGATTCTGGCAAGCGAGCAGGGGGCCCTCACGACGCCTACCGGCGACTCGGCGGCACCCAGCCGACGTGATATCATGTCATCCTCACAGCCCTTCCGGAATTCCTCTCCTATCCCCGGCATCGGCAGACGCAAATCTCAGTTCACCTTCAAACACTTGTTCCAACTAGCGACTTACAATACATCGTGCCCCTTACGAGTTGTAGCCCACATTGACCTCGATGCTTTCTATGCACAATGCGAGATGGTTCGCTTGGGCGTGCCTAAGGACCAGCCTCTGGCCGTCCAGCAATGGTACGTGGCCTTTCCGTCTGATCGTTCTATCAACTAACAACCCTAAGGCAAGGATTGATTGCTGTCAACTATCCAGCACGTGAGCACGGCATCGGTCGTCATTGCACTTTGACGGATGCGAAGAAGCTGTGCCCTACATTAGTTGCCCAGCATGTAGCAACTTGGCGAGAAGGCGACGACAGATGGGCATACCGTGATGATGCTGCTGCCAACATCCAGAGCGACAAAGTCTCTCTCGATCCGTACCGCCTCCAGTGCAGAAAGATCCTGGCAGTCATCAAGGAAAGTTTGCCCGCGGATCAGCAAAAGGTTGAAAAGGCCAGCATTGACGAGGTTTTCCTTGATCTCTCCGCACATGTCCATGCACTTCTCCTGGAACGCTTCCCCGAGCTGAGAAACCCACCACCTTACGACGATCCGACAGAGAATCTTCCAGCCCCATCCGTGGCAGCCCTGGACTGGCAAGCGGATGCCCTCATCGACCTGAATGAGGAGGAGGAGTCCGTGGACCCAGACTGGGACGACGTGGCGATCCTTATTGGGTCTGAAATTGTCCGCGATGTCCGAAGACAGATCCTGGAGAAGTTACACTACACATGCTCCGGAGGTATTGCCAAAAATAAGCTGTTGAGTAAGTTGGGCTCCGGCCACAAGAAGCCCAACCAGCAGACCGTCATTCGTAACCGAGCCGTGGCCCAATTCCTGTCAGGCTTCAAGTTCACCAAGATACGCAATCTCGGGGGGAAGCTTGGCGAAAACGTGGTCTCAACCTTCAACACCGACGCCGTCGACGAGCTATTGGCCATCCCTCTGGATCAGATGAAAGCAAAGCTAGGTCAGGATACCGGAAGCTGGGTTTTCAATACTATTCGTGGCATCGACGCTAGTGATGTCAACTCCCGCACACAAATCAAGTCGATGCTATCGGCAAAATCGTTCCGGCCCTACATCAACACCCCGGAACAAGCCCATCGCTGGCTGAGGATCTTTTCTGCCGATATCTTCGCCCGCTTAGTTGAAGAGGGAGTTTTGGAGAACAGGCGTAGGCCGAGGACAATAAACTTGCACCACCGGCATGGGGGCCAAATGAAATCGCGCCAAGGTCCAATACCCCAGGGCAAAGCACTAGATGAGCAAGCCTTATTCGAACTTGCGAAGAACCTCTTGAACCAAATAATGGGGGAAGGCAACGTCTGGCCATGCGCCAACCTTAGCTTAAGCGTGGGCGGCTTCGAAGACGGCATCACAGGCAACATGGGCATCGGCGCTTTCTTGCTGAAAGGAGAGGAAGCCCAGGCACTAAGGCAGAGTAGCCGCGAAGCAATCGATATGCCGAGTCCTGAAGAAAAGCCGCCAAAGAAACGTCGGACGGAGGGAGGGGCGATTCATCGCTTCTTTGCACGCAACGTTTCCACTGACGAAGAACTGCCGTCCGACGGTGCATCCGCAAAGAGCGATATCAAATCCCGAGAAGAGACTAAGTCAGGCGAGCCTTCCACGGCTGTTCCAGGTACGAGTCTGGCGCACGAGGAAGGCAACGGTGGATTCCATCAGGTGCCAACCACGGCCTTCGTATGCTCGCGGTGCAACACGGGGTTTGAAACGCCAGAGGAGCACCAAAGCCACGAGGATTGGCATTTTGCCAAAGATCTACAAGACCAGGAACGTGGCAAGCCCACACTTGCTCAGCACTCATCTGCCACCCGCAGCTCCGGCCCAAAGACTTCAGGAACTTCGGCCAAGCGGGGGGGCCGCGGCGGCAAGCTCGAGCATGGCCAGAGCAGACTGAAGTTTGGATGAATCCTGGTGATATGCCCGTCTTTGCCAACATCACGCCAAAAGTTTGTCGAGCGGGTCCTGCCGCCTGATACGCAGCGAGACTTGGAAGTTGGTAAACTTTGACGCCCTGAGACCTGGTCCAAGGGTCACCGCAGGACAGGAGATTGACGGCAAAGCCCCCGATGAACCTGAGGAATCTTCATTGATGGGCGTTTTCTTTCCAAATTCAAGCTTCACCGAGCGAATTATGAGGCGAGTCTTACACAAGGGTACCCACAGGGCAGGGACGACATGACTTCGGAACCCGGTATGGCTATCTGTTGTTGCCCAGTTGGGCACGCGGTACAGCAATTTGGGAAGCAATCCTGTCTCACAGTAGACTCAGTCGCGGACCTGGGCGTGGCTTCCGGCTTTGCGCCGGGTTACAGTCTATCGGAGGACGTGGTTATATGAGACATGAGGACGGATCAACTTGGCGAACCACAACGGCCTGACGGGACAGGGACATACATGTGGTTGAGCGTCTCCGCAGGCGCAACCGACGAGTTGGATGGCTACATGTGGATCGAGACTACCCGCAAGTGTCGTCATTCCAATTCCCGCCTGCAGCCCTCCGCGACATATCCGGATCCTCTTGGCCCACGGGTTGAACCAATATTGGGAGTGTCAGGGGCAGGATTGCCAGTGAGTAAGGTTCCGGACACACGATTCACGAAGATGAATATAGACTCTTGAATAAGAGAACGGCATCCAGTACGTTTGTGCTCTAGATGGAGGAGACCGGTGCACACCGGATCCCTGATCGAGGCCGGTTCCGTGATACTGTTGGATCGAGGTTCACGCATCGTTTTGGTTGCGTCTGGATTGACACAATCCGGATGACGTCTGCAAGTGATTGGTTGCTAATTAGGCATCTTTTGGGCCAAGGTGGGTTGGGCCACATTTTTGGCGCGAGGCATTGATACCCAACGTTGCCAACCACCACCTGGCACCGACGCACCGTTACCAACTCCCCGACTAGCAACACTACTCTGTCTCCGTATCCGTACTAACCACACAAATCAGCGTTTGCGGGAAAAAAGCACGCATTCGCCCTGTCTTGATCCGTGGACCATCACGGACAAAATGGAGACTGTAGAGGAAAAGAGACGGGGCATTCCCGGCAGTCGGAAGCGATAGGCCACCGCTTCGCAGCGATGCAATGGGGCCACATCGCCGACCCCGAGTGGGTTCGCAGCAACGGCGAAGTCAATTTTTGATGAGGACACCGCCAGCAACCGCCGGACGATCAAGAGACAGGGCAAGCAACGGCATGCTGCGCCGTCAGGTCGCGAAATGTCCGGCAATCGAGGGCAAGGGTCTCAGGAAACGAACGTCCGTCGTCCCACGCTCCACAGCCACGGGGATCTCATAGAAGTCAGCCCGGGGGGCGGGTGTCAGTGAGGACGTGCTTCGAGTAACTAGTTTTTGCGCCCTCCAAAGCGCGCCGGCTGGTCGCCGTCTGAGGCTGGGATATCCCGTCCTCGTAGGGTACCAACAGCTCGGTCAGTCAGACTTGAGGAAATTGAAAGGGACTGGGAAAAAAAAGTCAGACTCCAGGCTTGCATCATCTAACCATTCTTGCCTTTAGCAAGCTGACATAGGCAAAGAGGTCATCAGGGGCTGGAGAGTTGCTGGGGAGTTGCCAAACCAAGTCTGCCAGAAAACGCAACTTTCGACAGTGGCTCACACGCTTGGATTCCAAGCGCGCAGACTATACATGCACTTACGGACTGGTTTCTGCAATTATCACTTACCTCTTTCCAGAAGAAATTAGCCTTTGAAGTCCACGAATGTTTTCCAGGTTGTTCAACGGGGATCGACACGGATTGCGATGTCCAAGCGGTCTTCCGTAGCATCCTGCCCGACTTTCCAAAGTTACACAGACACAATAGAGTACACACTTCTTCTTTAGCCTCGGCAAGCAGACTGCCGCTCAAGGAAATGGCCTAGCGGATGTTGAAAAACGCCACTACGCCAAAGTAGTCAAACGTCTCCTCGATACATCCTTGACAAGAACCGCCCAAAACGCCATAGAACGACGGTCTAGAAGGGACTACCCACGAGCCACATCTTCTCCAAACTACTTCATCCCAAGCCGATGAATGCAATTCAGCCTCAGCTACGCCAAATTCTCAAACAAGAATACTTGGGGCGGAAGGTCTGGATCCTTTTCGAACCCCCTATAGGCTATGAGGCAAGCAACAGCACCGGACCTCACGATACCCGGTCCTAGGAGAAGGGTTGGGCTCAATCAAGGGGGATGGCGGATCTCAGACACCCCAAGGACGACCACAGGCCATTGGAATCAATCTACTTTGAGCTGCTGCCAATCTTGTCGCGTTTTCGGCTCAACAGCATCTCCCGCACGCAACTCTCTCGATTGGGCCTCGACATGCCGTGTCGCATTGGATGAGTTTCGACTTTCTGAGGGGCGGAGACAGGAACAAATAATACGCGCACCATTGAGCCGAGCCCCCCGGTGCAGCGAAATTCGAGCCTGTTGTAACATGAAGGACAAACCTTCGCATTGGATCTCACCACAGCTCGCCATCATGCCGTCTGTCTCATCTCTACCCTTTTGGAGCTTGACACGACATTATACCACGTATAAGGAGCGCTTGGCTGCTGCATCTTTCTGGCTGGGTTACTGGCCAGCCTGAAAGCACGTACCAAGCTGGCCTGCCTTCGTTGCCTTTCGTTCGCCTTACGTGCGTCTATTTGTACAGCAATGGCGACAGGTAAAGGCAGGCCTCAATATTCCAAAGAATTCCAAGTGAGTGTTTGGATGCGAGTTACGAGTGCGTGTGCGCCAAGAGCCCTCGCATGTTTGCTTCTTCCCACAAGCGCAAATCCTGTACTACTGTACCGACGTACTCACGCACGTCACCGTGGATGTCTGTTTGATGCTGTCCTAGTCATCGGGGCCACCCAAGTGGTGGTCGTGGTGCGCGCTAAAACGGAGCATCCAAAGCCCCCGGACGGGACGTTTCCTGGGGCTGTCCTGGACCTGGACAGACGTGAGTAAGATTTTGTTGTTCATAGGTAGTGCGCGCACGACGCAGGGAACTTCCTCGGTATCCCTTTTGGGCTGCGCGATCAGTCAACCCAACCTCCCAACCTCTCTCTGAGCTGCAAGCCTGCACCTCATCCCGTCTCCATCCACTCAGAGCGGCCGCCACCCATTTCTCCCCTGCTGCCGCCCAACCGCTCTCCGCCTCTCCGCCTCTCTGTCAATGTCAATCTGTATCCGTACGGAGCATTTGGACCAGGTTTCTGCTTTTTCGCGTACCGTCCCGCCAGGTGGCTTTTACCGCCTCTGCTGGCTGGTCAGGTATTCGTTGCGTATCCATCTGTACCGTGCGTACCTTGACTGAGGCTGGGAGGTACAGCTTGAGATGTACAATGGGATACCTCTCATCCTCCCGCCGTCCGTCTTCCTCTCGGGAACTAGGCGACGCAAGCTGGGCTAAGCAGGCTATCATCGCTTGGCCAGCAAGAGGCTAGACTTGGGCCACACCTTAGGTAGACGCAACACAATCCACCCCGAGGCCCCCCCTCCTCGCGCACTAAGGGGATCCAGTGGCATATTGGCCAGGTTGCCAGGGTTTGGGTAGAGCGCGAGGGAAAATCCGCACGGGACTGTCAGCCAGCAACGTGGTGCCAGCAAGCCCTGTGGTTTCCTTGCCTGGTCGGTCCCGAGCAGGCTCGACGTAACAGAAGGAGGAGAGAGGAAGTCCTCCCATCCTACGTACCTCATCATCTCACGGGGGGTGGAAGAGCAAGATGGAAGGACAGAGAGGGCAAGCGATTGAGGCAGAGGATGTGTGTGGGTGTGTGTGTGGGTGTCGTGTGAGTAAGGTAAGGTACATAGCGTAGGTAGTCCATAGGCTTAGGTTATTCGAATTGCCTACCTGAGGCTACCTTACCTCATATTCAGGCTGCTGCCACCAACAACAGTAAAGTAAGGCAAGGAAAGGTACAAGGGCAGTACTCCATACCAAGTACATCTCACGCCTCAACGGCTCAGAACCGCAGTTAAAAGTGAGGACGAGGGGTGTTGGTGACCACTCACAGGCGGGCCTCACTGACCACACTGACCACACTGGTCACTGGACGCAGAGCCCAGTGGTTGACTGGTCCACGTCGGTGACTTCACTTACCGCTGCCCGCTAGGTCCCGGTTTTTCCTACCAGAAGCCCCCACCCCCAAGAGAAGAGCCAGACTCTGGCCTGTTCCTTTTCTGCGCCCACCACCCACTCCCTGCCCGCTTTTGCCTTCCTGTTCTTCCTCTTTTTCTTCCCGCCATCTCGACAATCCCATTTCTTGCTCTCCTCCCCTCCTCTTTCTCTTTTTCCCTCTCTTGATCTTTCTCTCTCACCTTCACGTTGCCTCGCCTCGCTCGACCCTCTCTCTCTCTCTCGACCGGTTACCCTTCTCCCTCCTCCTACTCAGACCACCCCCGCTTTCAACCGTCATCATGTCGAGATCCTCCCGTGGCCCCCCTCCGGCTTCGTCTGCCCCTCAGAGCGGCCGCTCCAACGAGTACTTCGTTCCGAGAGATGGAATTGATCGCGAGGTCATCACCGCCGATATTTGCCGCTACCTCGGCAACGACGCCCTCGTCCGCCCGGGTCACTACGAGAACCCCCAGACCGGACAAGTCTCACAGGGTTACTACATCACCGCCTACCGAAACCTAACAACAGTGAGTGGCTTTGCTCCACTGTCGTCGCCCTTCTCTCGACCATTATGCTGATACAATGCCTCCGCAGGCCATGATCGACGACTTGAAGGCCGATTCTGCGCGATGGGAGGCAGAGAGGCGGCAGCAGGCCGCCCGGAATAGTTCAGGAGGTACATTTGCCTCAAGAGACGCGACGGCTCTTTTGTCGAGACGTTCTAACTCCCCTACAGCAGGGTACCGCCAGTCGGAGACTCACTCCGCACGCCAACACTATGGTCCCACGGATTCCACTGGCTACCCGGACGTAGGACGTGATTCCTATGAAAGCACCCCTAGATATCCAGGATCTCAAGCCCCAGGTTACTCAGGGAACTCTGCCCAGGGCTACTCTGGATCTACCCCTTCCTACCAACAGCAGCCTTCTTCTTCTTACTCAAGTGGTGGGTATCCCTACTCTGGACAGCCAGACCCAAGAGCCGACCCCAGGTACGCTGGACAAAGCCAAATGGGACAAGGATACGGTGAACCCCCGTACATTGCTACGGCCGCGAACATGGCGGCGCAAAGAAACTACCCCACCGACCCTTACGCCGGACAGCCCTCTCGGACTCCTACTTCGATGGCCCCTCCGCCAGGAGGGCCGGCTTACTCTTCCGGATCACAGGTTCCGGCAGGATATCCCACAGGTTACTACCCGCCTTCGACGTCAGCCTCGTACGGTTCCACGCCGGTGGCTTCTGATCCGATGTACGGACGCGGTGCGTATACAGCTTTGTACCCCAACCCAACTTCTTCGACCGAATCTAATTATGTAGCGTCCCCAGCAGGTGGTGTTGCTCACCCGTCTCTCTCTGGCCAAGGAGGATCACAGTATGATAAGCCCCCTGCACCCCGTGGTTCTGCTCCTCCATCGAGTTCCAAAGCTCAGACGACAAGTAGTGGATCATCGCACTCCCGCCGCAGCGAAAGGGATTCCGACAGGCATCACCAATCCGACCGCCATCGCCCCCCGCGTCGCTAATACGTTACCTTCACTGGAATTTACTGTAGCCACTCCGACTGCACAGGACGCCCGTCCTGTGAGTCGCTGTCATGAACTTCATCCTAATGATTTCGGGTCTTGGACCCGTTTCCCGGTGTCGGCTTCCTTATCATTTGTTTTCCTGGATAGACCCTTTTCCTGGATTCGAGGTGTGGAATTCACCTCGTGAGTTGCAAGTATGCATCTCGCACTCCGTTGTCTGGCTTTGCTGGCGTTTTGGCTCTGCGCGGCCTCGGAGCTTCCCTGGCTCTACATAATATTCCTGGACCGTTACGTCTCGAGTTCTACTACATCCTGCCCGGATCTCACCTGGACTTGACCTGGATTTCACCAACAATGGATTGTGCCGCGCATACCCCTGGACGTTTTACGACTGCATATATGGATGGGCTTACGATTTTTGCTATTCGATCAACCTTTTCTTTTCAGCAAGTATGTCTTGCTACCACGTGTTTATGGCCCGGAACCCAGGAACGGAAAAGGACGTACTTTCTTGAACCGAGTCGACTTTGACGACTTCTTACATGGACCACTTTGCTGTCTGGAGCCGTCCTGACGATGGATGTAATGTCATTTTACTCTCTTCTCCTGGTCTGGGTTTCATTCTTCCTACTTGGACTTTCGGAGTTCGGGGTCATCATGGTGTTTCGTTATAGAATGGGCGATGACGGCATCTGGACAGCAAGGTGAGTACACGGATTGCAATTTTTTTGACCAACTTCGAAAGGATACTCTTGCAACTTCCCTCATAAGGATCTGAGACTCATGGTTGAGAACTCTCATTTACCTAACGTCACAGTCATCCAACCGGACTCGTTGCACCGCAAACTACTTCCCATTGGAAAAACAAAACTGGCCATTTGCAAACCTGGATCTGCTTCTAAGCACTCGCACCGCACCATGGACTTCATTTCATATTTTGGAAATTCCGGATCAAAGCTTCATGGACCAGCCTGTGGAAGTACCACCCATTGGACAGTGGCCGTGGACAAGAAAGGCCATGACCCCCACAACCGAGACTCCCAAACCCTTTTGGATCTCGAGTTAGCTCACTGAGCTTAAACAAGAAATTACTGGGAGGAGACACATCTCCAACGTGGGTGAGTTATACTTGGCCTGGCCTGCCAACCATCTCGATACAATGGTCAAGATGTTCCATCGATCATGAGTGGCCTTTGCCGGTCAATCACACCTTGGCACCTGACAACATCCGTTGCTTTTTGGATGCACGTTGCGATCATCAATGCAGCCTGCCATGGGACACGAGTCTGGCGGTTCATGGTACCACTACCCACTGTGACCTGAAGATGAGGCATGGTTGAGGTTCACTAGCGCCAGGCTAGGCACATGATACAAACGACTCAACCCTACCTTTCTGGACTACCTTTCATGGACTGCGGCTGCCCAGCCCTGCGGAACACTTCCTGGATCACGTGGAGCCTTCCTGGCAGCTCTTCCGGAACAGCTCGTTAGTCACCACTATTTCTATTCGTTCTGTGTTTCTATTCGCATCGTGGAACCATATCTATCCAAGCCGGGACATCGAACGTGGGAACTAACACGCTCGTCGCAGGCTTCACAGGGAACGAGCACACAGTGTTGTAGCCAGGATGGGTAGTAGTGGCTCAATCGAGCGGACTTGATGTATTGCATATATCGGCGATTGTTTACGTTTGGATCCAGATTTTTGGAAACTTTTGGAGTTGTGGTGACATCTACCGGATTTATTTTATGCGATTTTTGTTGTTGTATTTGGCGTTTGGGCATATGGTAACCAGCGGTTATCGGCTATTGAATGATGACTAAGTTTCTGTAATGAATTGAACGTTTCTGGATTATGCCGATGATCACCTTTTCCACCTTGAGCATTTCCTCGTCATTCGTCACCTCGAAGACGCGTCTTGATACTCGGCGGGTCGCATCTGGACAGTCTTGCCCAGCATCACCCCGGTCATGTGAGGTGTCACCCTGTCCACCTACCCTCCCTACGGAAAGTTCATCGTCACTGCCGGCGAGTTGTGCACCACTCGTGTCGCGTGCGTGGTATGAAGCTCAAGTTTGTCAAGCAACCAACCCATCCCGTTGGGGCAGATTTGGTTTTTCACCATCGGGGAAAAAAGTATTGGGCGGCGCGGCAGATGGGGGGAGGGACCGACCTTGTTGATAGAGTTTGGATTGGGGATGGGTGGGTAATCCAGGTTGTGGGATTCGAGTAAGTAGATCAGGAAGCTGGCGTGGTGAGTGACTTGCGAAGAGAGATCTTGGGATGAGCATTGGGGTGTGTTACTTTGGGGGTTCCTGTGGGCATTTGGGAAGAGATTTGTATCTTATACGGAGGTGCTGTTACTTGGGTTTGTCTACCTATGGCGGATATCTAATATCATGTAGCTAACCACTTCTCTGGAGACGGAGATTTGGCTTAGGGGCATGGAGTATACGGATGTATCGTATGTTTTGGATGGACAAAAGGCAGACTGAAGCTGTGTTCGACGCCATGGGGGGAGAGGATGCTGAACATCAAGTCCTTTGGGCTGTTGGTGGCGGGAGACGAAGAAAGGTGAGAAAGCATATGAATAGTTCCTGTCTGCCCCAGCCCCTCCACCCTTTCCCCAGAGGTCTGAACTTGATCTGATTCATTGCCATGCCAAGCCTGATCGGATCGCAAAGGTTGATGTGTCTTTTTGCCACGGCCCTTTATGGGCATGGGATGAAATGCCTAGCTGGGGTAGGGATGATGGTTTGGGCAGTTGAGTGCCTGGGGTTAATAAGGGAGAGAGGAATATTCACATCCTCGAGATGTATGTCAAGAGATGGAACCAGTGGTTTGCGGATGCTGCGGGTGCGGGTAGCAATGAGGGAAGAACACGTACAGATGGGTTTTTGGGACAATGGCGGACCAGAAGGAGGAAGGTTGGTGTGCTTGACAATGCCATCCTGATATACTTCTCAAAAAGGGAGAGCCAGTTTCTCGCTCACCGATGCTTCAAGTCTGGTTCCATCAAGGCTCAGGTATGCAAAATAGAGTATCTGATACTTGGGGAATTCAGCTTGTAATAGGGACATAAGGTAGGCGCAGAGATTGCTCTGGGAAAGTCGTTGGGGCTTCCTGCTGCTGCCGCCGAGGAGAGTATGCTCTCGGATCTGGCATGGACAAGAAGGGGGGACCATCGATTATGACTTCCGAGGACATAGATTCATGCTTAATGAAGATGGGATGGATGAAGGAGGATGCTCTGGCATCGGACCTAGGAGTCTTGATTTTGGAAGTTTGAAAGTTACTGCGATGAACCTTGTTTCTAGAGGCTGAGAAGAAGGAGGGCCCAAATGCGTATTCCCAACTTTCCACTCCTTACGGAAGTCGATTCAGGAGTAAATGACACTCGAAATTCCCATCCAGTGAATCGGACCAGTATGAACGTAGTAGAGACCGAGAGTGGCAAGAGTGGGATGGTTCAACAGTTTTGCTTACTAGATACAAAGCCTTATTGAACGCGCAAGACGAGGAGTTGGATAGGCCACGTGGGGTTTTGAAGCGTATGAGGAACGCAGTAGGCCCTTGATGTTGAAGGTTGAGAAAAACAGACTAGCACCCCGAGACTCCGGCTTTTTTGCGGGGCGTATGCCAAAAAGGACAGCATCGTGACCTTTATCTCTGCCTGCTACAACTTGGACGCGGTTGACGCGGGTAAACAACACGACGTTCTCCATTCGCTCTCGTACGCGCAGTGTGTAGGGGCAACGAGACAAAGGCCTTGGAAAAAATCAAATTAAGTAGATAGGGGCTCTCTGAATACGGAAGTGACTCGAGCGATCATGAGAAAACGGGCAAGGTGAAGTGTTCCGTAGGTTTTTTCTTAGATGTGGAGCTTTGCCCGGCGATTGCGCTCCGGCGAAGTGGGAACTCGGTCCACACCGAGGACGGGGTGACCAAGCCAGTTGACACGGGGATCGAAATGGAGGGGTCAAGAACCCCTGAAAATTTTCTCTGTTAATCGGGTTTGAAAATTTGGAGATAAATGCTCATCATACATCACATACAAGAAGGGTCGTAGCGGAAACTTGGAAATACGATATAGTAGGAGCGCTCTACATCATCTGCGATTCCAACTGAACCTCAAATTGAAATTGGGTTAGCAGGAACGATGAGGTGGATGGGATGGAGGGGGAGGGGGAAGGGACGAGGAGGGGTCTGGAAGGCGCCGACCTACCCTTTGGGTTGACAGGCACGACAGGCACGACAGGCACCGTGGGACGGGCGGTGAAGGAGAAAAAACAGAAGGTGCAGGGGGGTAACGCTGGCGGTAGTGGGGACCCCGATAATGGCCGGGGCCAAGATGAACCAATCAAAATATAGCATTGACGCCTTGGGCTGCCCTGATGCCATACCGCTTTCAGGGCGGGTGGAGGCGGTGGACGGCGCACTTTTACGTTTGCTTGCATTTTGGCCTTTGCTGCCTTTTCTGCCGACAGAAAAAAAAAACATTGTTCTCCCGTCTGCTCCGTAAGGCAGCTTAGGTAATGGGGTAGTTTGAGGGGCATGATATACGGAATGCACTCCTAGACTCTACTTCCATTTCTCTGCTCTCGTGGGGACCCCATAGTAAGATGTTTTGCCTCTCCTTGGCAGATCCAGGTGCAACAATCAGGAAGGAAGCAAACATTCTGCAGATGGGACTCCAAGGTACGAATCCCTACACCATTAACAAAAGCCCAGCACGAATAAGGTGGGTGGGAAGGAGGGAAGTGCAAGGTAGCATCAACCAATTCTATGGATTTCGTGTTAGCAGCCGGTCCCCTGTCTGCTTGGACTTGTAAAGGACGATATTCCCACACAGACACACACCTTTTCCTGCCGCTCCCTATCTCCCTGAGACGCGGTTGCATCCCATGGATCTTGCTCCAGAGCGGAAGTGGACAGCCAAAAAACAAGCAACAGCACGTACGCAGTATCGTGACACGGCGTTTCTTCGTCTTGGGATGATGGGCCATACTCTCACCCATCCAAGCGTCTCTTGTCGTGATAAGAGCATTAGCAGATGCCATTTTTCTTCAACTGTCGGTTCATGTCTAGACGGCAGCATTGTAACACAATGCGAAGTGCCCCTCTGCGTCAACTATAGAGGAAAGGAGTAGCGCATTGCGCACCCAGAGGCCTGAGGTAGAAATCCTGAATCCGTCGCAACCACGAGAATAGAGGTTCACGGTCCACCACAATCCAGCCTAGCCGGGACTGTCTGTCACTGCCGTCTGACACCCGCCATCAACAAGGCGAAAGAAAATAAAGGGTCAGTATTGCGTTCTGGGACGTAGCCCAGAAAGATGGACAGCGTCAGGCAGGAAACCTGGCAATGTCAAGCAAAGCTCTTCACATCTCGCTCTCACTCTTCTTTTCTCGTAAACAGGCATCAATATAATATCCTTATTACAAAGTTGGAGACACTTTCCGTATGCAGTACAGGAGGCATTGTTCCTTGTTGTGATCTTTCAAAGCTGGAGGAACTCGCCGGCAGCCAATCATCTCGACCGTTTACATCGCCGTGGACTTGTACCTTCGAAGCCGCGCCGTCTCATCAGACACGTACATCAGACACACACACACAAGCACACGCACACAGACATTTCTTCCTTCCCAAGACACAAGACAGGCAGACGAACAGACAGAAAGCCAAAAAGTCAGAGACAGACAACCAGCTGCAAAATCACCCGAGTCCTCTTCCCCTGCCCGCCTTACGTTAGTTCAATAAGGTAGCCCGCCGCTGCCCAGAACTTAGAGCCATCCGACGCCTTGTGCGCCAACAACAACCCGCTACACGTCAGGCCTGAACAGGTAAGCTCAGTCAATGCCTTAGCAGTACTTGATGGAACCTGCTTGAAAGCACCCAGCAGTACCTCGCCTTGCCCCGAAATCCCGTTGTGATACGAGGTACCCAGCCCAGCCTAGCCGGTGTACCTCTTGACTTTGGTTCCTGTCCCCTTCCTTTTCCCTTTTCCTACTAGACCCTTCACTTACCCTCCCCTACCACACACATCTCAGCCAACTTTCCTTACCGTCCTTTCAGTCCGTCAGTCATTCAGCACTCACCTCAGACCGTCGACCCTTGCGTTTTTGACTTCCCCGTGATTTCTCCTTGACCTGACTTGGCCTTTATTCACACGCAGCAACAGCAAGGCCAGCCCAGCCCAGCCCAGCCCAGCGAGCGCACACGCAGTACGAAATACGCACCTCAGTACCTACGCAGCCTGGTACATACCTTGACGCAGCGACGCCCACACCCGCACACACGCACGCACACTTCCACTCCCAGTACCTTACGCCCACACACGCCGTACCGCCGTCGCCGTGGCATGCCCCGCCATTTCGAGGCAACACAGTCGACCCGCCCAAAATTTTGTCTTCACCACCCGCACCGCTTTCCTTCCTCTCAATTCCTATCCCGCCTTCGCCTCGACATCACCCCGTCAATTCACCCAAGATGGACACCACGGCGATTCGAGGCCTGCTCGCGGCCAGTTTGGACCCCGATGCCGACACGAGACGGCGGGCTGAGATTCAGCTGAAGCAGGTATGAACACGAGAACTTTTCTCTTTTTGCCTTTCCCACCCGTCCTCCTTTCCCGCTCTCGCTTCCTGCTGGCCCCTTCTCGTGTCCTGAGAGATCCCGCCCCCTCCCCCACGAATGGCCCCTCCATGACTGCGCCAGGGACGATCCGCACTACATCGCACCGCACGCACATATACAGACGTATACAACATGGACGAGATGCATACCTACCGCCGACACGTCTTCGCACCCTCCCACGGGCCTGTTGCCCGCTCCAGATGCCCGGCATCGGGTCCGGTCCCACGGGGCATAGTCGCGGAGTCACCCTTGATGTTGGATTTGCCGGCTGACATGTCTTCTCCTGCCACTTAGATCGAAGAGCACCCGGGGTTTATGGACGTTCTCCTCGAGGTCCTTCAGAACGAGCAAGACAACAGTGTGCGACTATCAAGTACGTGGACGGCTCCCCTCGAACCTCGTTGCCCCCCTACTCTGCCTTACTCCCGTATGGCCTCACCTAGCCAAGCAGACATACTAAACGGTTCCTCCTCTTAGCCGTTATCTATATCAAGAACCGCGTAAATCGCGGATGGGAAAAGTCGGACCACAACCCGAACGACACACAAATCGCCGAAGATGAGAAGGCGCGTTTCCGCGACCGTCTGTTGCCCATCATGGCCGCCTCTCAGGGGCTGGTCCGGCAACAGTTGATCCCCGTCCTCCAGCGTATTCTGCATTTCGATTTCCCCGAGAAGTGGCCCAACTTCATGGACTACACTATGCAGCTCCTGAACACGAACGATGCCGCCTCCGTTTTGGCTGGTCTGCAATGTCTTCTCGCCATCTGCCGCGCCTACCGATTCAAGTCTTCGGACGGCGATAACAGAGTCCATTTTGACAAGATTATCGAGGCCAGCTTCCCCAGACTGTTGGCCATCTGCAACGAGCTCATCGCGCAAGAGAGCGATGAAGCTGGCGAGATGCTTCACTTGGCCCTCAAGGCTTACAAGCACGCAACCTGGGTATGTACAAAACCCTCCTTTTGTTGTGCCTGGCTTTGCAACGTTTTGGCTGACACCGTCCTAGCTCGAACTCTCTGCTTTCCTTCGTGCCCAGCAAACCAACTTTGGCTGGTGCACCGTTTTCCTCCAGACCGTTTCAAAGGCTATTCCTGCCAGCGCCATGGCCGACGATTCATACGAGCGTGAAAAACACCACTGGTGGAAGGCTAAGAAATGGGCGTACTTCAACTTGAACAGACTGTTCATCAGGTAAATCGGCCTACAGTCCTTTTAGCATTTAGAGGACTGGCTAACGCTGGAATAGACACGGCAACCCCCAATCCGTCACCAACACAAAGGACGAGGACGCTGTTCGTTTTGCCAAGGAGTTTTCGGCCACGATTGCGCCTGAGATTCTCAAGCACTACTTGGCCGAGATCGAGAAATGGGTTGCAAAGACGGCTTGGCTCAGCAGACCCTGCCTGTCATACACTTTGGTTTTCCTCGACGAGTCGGTACGCCCCAAGGAGATGTGGAACCACCTGAAGCCTCACCTGCAGAACCTGGTGATGCACTTCGTGTTCCCCGTTCTTTGCCTGTCCGAGGAGGATATCGAGAAGTTCGAGGACGAGCCCGATGAATATCTCCACAGAAAGCTCAACTTTTACGAAGAGGCCTCGGCCCCCGATGTTGCGGCTACCAACTTCCTCGTCGGCCTGACGAAGAACCGAAGAAAGCAGACCTTTGAGATCCTCAAGTTTGTCAACGCCGTGGTCAACGAGTACGAGCAGGCGCCGGAGGACAAGAAGAACCACATCGCCAAGGAGGGTGCCCTGAGAATGATTGGCACGTTGGCGCCGGTCATCCTGGGCAAGAAGAGCCCCATCGCCGACCAAGTCGAGTACTTCCTCGTCCGCTACGTTTTCCCCGAATTCACGAGCCAGCAGGGGTACCTGCGCGCGCGGGCTTGCGACACGATCGAGAAGTTCGAGCAGCTCAACTTCCAGGACCAGAACAACCTCCTCACCATCTACCGCCACATCCTCGACTGTATGGCCGACGTCGCGCTGCCCGTGCGTGTCACTGCCGCGCTTGCCCTGCAGCCTCTCATCAGACACGACATCATTCGTACCAGCATGCAGCAGAGCATCCCTACCATTATGCAGCAGCTGCTTAAGCTCGCCAACGAGGCCGATATCGATGCCCTTGCCAACGTCATGGAGGATTTCGTCGAGGTCTTTGCCACTGAGCTGACGCCTTTTGCCGTTGCCCTTAGCGAGCAGCTGAGAGATACCTACCTCCGCATCGTCCGTGAGGTTCTGGACAAGAACAAGGATAATGGTGAGGATGAGTTTGGCGACTACCTTGACGAGAAGAGCATCACTGCCCTCGGCGTTCTTCAGACCATTGGCACTCTCATTCTCACTCTCGAGAGCACTCCCGACGTTCTGCTCCACATCGAGGCCGTCCTCATGCCTGTCATTCAAGTTACTCTAGAGAACAAGTTGTACGACCTGTACAACGAAGTCTTTGAGATCATCGACAGCTGCACATTCGCTGCCAAGGGTATCTCCCCCACCATGTGGCAGGCTTTCGAGCTCATCCACGCCACTTTCAAGGCTGGCGCCGAACTCTACCTGGAGGATATGCTGCCCGCCCTGGACAACTTTGTCCAGTACGGAGCTGGCCAGCTGGTGCAGAAGCCCGAGTACATTGAGGCTCTCTTCTCCATGATTTCCGATATGTTCAACGATAACAAGGTTGGAGGCGTCGACAGAATCTGTGCTTGCAAGTTGGCTGAAGCTATGATGCTGAACCTTCGCGGCAACATCGACAACTACGTCTTGCGTTTCATCGAGTTCGCCATGACTGTCCTCACTGCTCAGGATGTCAAGGTCAAGGCTTACAAGATCCACCTCATGGAGCTGGTCATCAACTCCATTCACTACAACCCTGTCCTCACTCTCCACATCCTCGAGACCAAGGGCTGGACCAACCGATTCTTCAGCTTGTGGTTCGGCAGTATGTCCAACTTCACCCGGGTGCACGACAAGAAGCTGTGCATCGTCGCGATCGCGGCTCTGCTCAGCCTCAAGGCGGACCAGGTCCCTCAGAGCATTGCCGTTGGATGGCCCCGCTTGCTGCAGGGCGTCACCGAGCTGTTCAAGACGCTGCCTGCCGCTATGAAGAACCGCGAGGAGGCACTCCGTGACGACTACCACCTCGACGCCGGCACCTATGACTATGGCGAAGAGGATGAGTGGGCGGAGGACGAGGCCAACTGGAACGTCGAGGACGAGCCTGAGGAGGAGGAGACCAATGAAGGCCGCGATGAGAGCACCGCGTACCTTGAGTTCTTGAACGAGGAGGCTCAAAAGTTCAGCCGTGGCGTTGACGACATTGAGTCTGAGGACGACCTTGGAGAGGACAGCGTTTTGCTCGAGTCTCCCCTGGACAAGGTGGACCCCTACCAACTTTTCAGTGCGACTTTGATGAGTAAGTTACAGATTATGCCGTCTTGTATGAACAAAGGCTAACCCCCGAGCAGAGATGGAGGAGGAGCAACCTCAATTCTACCAGTCCCTTGCGTCACATCTCACCGCCGAGGACCAAGCCGCCCTGCAGGGCGTCATGCAAAAGGCAACCGAGAATGCCCAGGCTGCCCAACTGGCTCTTGCTCAGCAACAAGGTGCCGCCCCTGTCAACGGTGGTGCTAGCTAAGAGCCCTACCGGAGATTTCATCGATGACCGAGCCGGGCCCCTCATCCCGCTGTGAGGATCGTGTCAAGAGTATAGTGATCTCTGACCGCCCCAGCTCAGAACTTATGAGGGAGACGCGAGATGATCCGAAGAGCCACTGCCGCAACGCAAAGTCGGTGGATAAGGCTCGAAGCTGCCAACTGTCGATGTGGACGAGCGGCTGCAGGAAAGACTGATGAGGCAAAGATTTACGATTACCCCATTCCTAAAAGATTACAAGAGGTCCAAAAGGAAGAAGATCTTCAAGAGCAATAGAGCGTGCAAACGATGGCCGGAGGCCAGCTGGATATGAGAGGGAGGTGTATGGAAAGACTGAGTGGTCCTCCGCCAAAAACAAAAAACGCAGCTTCCCCTGTCGTCGGCAGTTGAGGAGGAGTGAGCAGCAGGCAGGGGAAAAGATGGGACTTGTTGTTTCTGCTCGGATTTTCAAAGGGCGCCACAGAGGATGTTCCGACTGTCTTCGTCTTGGCCGTCTTTTTATTTCAAACCGGCGGCAGGCATAGCATCGTACGGGAGGCCCGCGTGTTGTGTGGATGTATAGCTCATGATGCCCCAGGTCGTAAGTAGTTAAAAATTCCCCCAAACCCAACAATTCAAAAATTATTTCAACATATACCTTGGTCCTCGGTTACGTTGTCCTAGGAGTGAGATTGTAAAGGAATGTGGCTATTCAGACGGACACCCTACGTCTCCGAGCTTGTCTTTCTTCCTCTCAATACTGTTTTGTCGACCTCGGCGAATTCTTCCAAAGCATGTCACCTGTTACAGGGAGGGAGATGAGTGCAATGATTGGGTAAGAAGGTTTTTAATTGTCTCAGAACTAATCATGACCCATCTCGAGGTGGCGGTTCCGGCGGCAATCCCAAGCGCTACATCACACTAGCTACCTTACTCAAAGATCCCTCATCTCATGCGGGGTTCGCGCAATCACTGCAATCAAATCTGCCATCAGCATCTCGATTATGAGCCTGACGCAGTAGGCAACCGGATGGGTGCAGGTATAATGATAGGAATTTGGTGCAGACATGAGGATCATCATGACAACCTTTTCGAGGAAGGGAGAGGGAGAGAGAAAGTCAGCCCCATGTTACGTATGTTTACTTGGAGAACGCGTCTGTGTCGCAAACAACTTACATCCAAGGATATCGAAAGGCACACAGCCGCCACACCGCAATTGAACAAAAGCCGATATTTGACTAGGCCGCCGGCAATGAGCTCACGCTTGATGATTATGAGAAAAGTCGCATCGAGCACAACGTTGACCAGCAGATCGATGACTATATCCAGCCGAGTCATCCATCTGTTAATAACCACGACCAGGATAGTGGGATTCACCGTAAAGGCGATCCACAAGCCAATGTATAAGAGGTTGAAGATGCCGATGAAGACGAGCAGGCCTATCTTCATGTATTTGACTCGTCGCTTGTTGTGCATGAGGAGACCGAGTCTGTTGGCGAGAATCTGGGGGGCGAGCTGGGTTTGTAGAACCCAGCTGATGGCGTCCGCAATCATGAAGCCGATGCTGAGGTTGAATAGCGGTTTTTTAGCAAAACAGTAGGTGGGAGTGCGTTGAGGAGGTTTGGCCTTTTGCTTACTTGATTGTAATGTCTCCGCGGAATAGTAAGAAGATTATAATCGCCTGGGTGGCGTTGGCGGAGAAGAAAATCCATACCCTGAAAGCGTGTGTCAATTCTCTCTGAATTCTCTCGAAGCCGCGCGGTACTGATTTTTGCCCTGTAGGTGTATGACTGACATCCAAGCGTAGACATTCTTCAACGAGTTTGTCCTCGAATAGATTAGGAAACTCTGCTGGACGGCTTTTGCAGAGGTGAGTGCCAGCAGACCTATGCAGACGCCAAAATAGAGGGCGGGAGTTTCCGTGGTGTCGAACGCCCAGGTCGACGCTCTTTTTCCAAGCATGATGGAAATCGAAGACAATAGAAAAGAACTTCGGAGGTTACTAGGGAATGATCGATAGCCTTCTCCTTGACGACGAGAATTGCACAAGCGGCGGGCTTCCCCATGCTTGCCCTTTTATTTCGTGGTGGCATCGTTGATGGTTTAGTAGCAGTGGCATTGCGATATCGATCATGAAATTTCAAACTGCTAGGGCTTGGCGTCCACTGGTGTTGAAGGGCTACTTGCTTGCTTTTTCTTTTTTTTCTCCTCTCTCTCGCGATGCAAATCGCGGTTTCATCGAAAATCTCAAGCCATAATTAGCTGTGCCGTGCCGAGATTTACATTGATAGATGGCTGGCAGAGACACTTTGAAAGTACTAATACGCTGTGAGAGTGCGCCACCTTTCTGACTATGACATGATGATCCTATCTAGGGGGTTACTGGGGTCTGGGCTTCCCAAGGGTTTATGCCAAGCATCGCGACACCTATACGCGAGCTCGAACTCGAAGTTTGGTGACAACGGCAAATTCCGGAGTCAGTGTATTTCTTCTTCAAGTGTGACAAGTGCCGTGAAATGTCACCAAGATGCAGGACGCTTTGAGCCTCTAAGCTCGAGGAGGATCGGGGTGTTTTACACATCCCGTCGGCTGCGCTACGACTAGCGGTGACAATCTCTGGGTAGTTCCGTTGATACTAGGGATCTGTCAGTTTTCGATGAACAGTATTGCTTTTGTTGAACTGGTGGTCTAATCGCTAAGATCCTAGCCGTAACCAGGCGGCTGGTTCAAGTATGAAGGGGGCTTGCTGCGGGCGGTGGGATCCGGCAGTAGCGGGAATCTGGAATCTGATAGATCGGATAGGATCACGAATTCTCTGGTAGGTGTGGTTGCATGTCGTTACGAACGCAGTTGGGAATGGTTATAATTAGAGGGTTGAGGGTGTGGCAGACGGGTGAGAGAATATGTGGCCCATCGCCATACTCGAGAACCTGAGCAATCACGGCACGTCTGGCTATCTGGTCTTTCTTTCAGTAGTTGACTCTTGATCGAAACTGCCCAGGAGCAAAATAGGACGTCGATTGTTGGTGAGCGGGCTTAAGTCAGACCAAGGGAAATCAGGGAAGACGATGAATGTCACTCCTATAGATGCAGACTTCTGAGAAGCAGAAACCAGTGAGTTTTGTTTCTGTACCATGTGGATCCGTCTTTCAACCTTGCATTCTGTTCAATCTTAGCCATAGTGAATGAGTGTTGTCACTCTTCTGATACTTATTGAGTGGAACAGATGTTGAATGAAGCCGAAGAGTCCTGCTTGTGTTAAGAACTACTTCATGTTTTCTTTGATAAAAGATCGCAAATTTGACTACCGGGGCCTCTGATTGCTTAATTCTCATCAAGGTCAGTCCTTGTTCGAGTATTCACTCAACTCTCTCCTCGCTCGTTGATCTGGCAGTAGTATTGCTTTGTGGTTAAGTTCTTCACCGCACCTCTTCTCAACGCCACTGGCTTCTCTTATTCTACTCGTTACCTCTCGTAATGCTACAACCTAAAGGAAATTGGTGGTGAGAAGAGGAAATTTCTTAACTGCGAATGAGGCAGGTTGTCAACAATAGCTCCTTCCGAATACACCTGAAGGTTCAGACGAAACGGCATGCAGATAACGTCGTTCTCGCCAGCTCGCCAACTCTGACCCGTCCAAACCAGAACATTCATTAGGTCGAGGCTTGGTATTCGCCCGTTCGCATTTATACCTTGTCTTGAAGTTCGAATATTTGCCCTCTACTCCAGAAGCATAATTTCCGCCGAAGCACAAAGATTACGCCCTAGTTACTCGCGATTCATAACTTCCTTCGGTCATACTCGGCTTCTCTGACACCAAGAATCGAGTTCCTGCAAATTACCAGTAGGTCGAAGCTCCTCCAGAAGCCTACCCAACTCCTTCCCGCCCCACAAGAAGAAGCTCCCAATTGCTATGATTCGAAATTGGTCTTATCCACAAGGCTTCAGAAGGCAGGATCGGCCAGAAACCGCGCCTTCTTCCTCAGTCTCTAGTCAACTTCCTCCTGCCCTTTCCCAGACTTGGGATTCCGCAACTGGTCCTTTTCCTAATTATCTTCCGCATCTCAATACGATTGCATCAATGTCCGCAGGTATAACCTCACAGCAGAGCCAAGTCAAGCCTGTGACGCCTATGACGCCAGAGACAACAATTACAGTACCTCCTCTGGGTCTACGACGTTCGCCTTCCCCGCCTTCACCTTCCTTCGTCGAAGCTGGTCGAATGCAGACGATTTCTCCATTGGAACCCGCTGAAAGAGGAACACCGCAGGTGACTGGCCCCTCTCGACTTACGTCTGTTGGCCAATTGACAGTCAAGCCAAACCAACCTTTACTCAAGAGTGTCAAAGATAACAACCTGCCGCAGGGGACTGCAGCTTCAACACAGCGCCTTATAGCAGAGAAGCTTGCTCAGAAGGAATCGGCGACTTCCCTTAAGCCCGACATCATGAAGGACAAGCCATACACTGGTCAATCGATCGTTGGCTGGAGGAAGTGGGCTAAACGACACAAGAATACCGCTTACAGCAGGTATCCGGCCTGTAACGAGGCGGTCAACACCCACATCTCCAAGGTACTCTGGGACTTGGAAAATAAGAAGCCAAAAGCACTCAGCGAGCAGAAAGTATACGGCGATTTCATGAAGGACTGGAAGGAAACCCAGTACAGGCAACGGCCGCCTTCGGCGCCACTGATGGAGTCGATCCGACTCATCAACAATGTCAGTCTGCCGCAGGACATTGTCACCAAACTCGAGATTTCTGGCTGGGATGCGACCAAGTGCTGCGATCCGACGTTGCCATACTCCGAGAAGAAGCTTGCCAAAGTGCCGCCCAATCTGAAGGGTTCCTCCAAGGACCCGGATTCCGAGTTAGAAAATGACTCTGAGGAGGTTGCTCTGGCACAAGCCAAGCAGCAACAGAGGGGATCTTCACTGGACATGGCCATCACCTTGATCGACGATCCCGAAGATGAGGATATTCAGTCCTCCGGCCAATCTTCCCGGCAGGCTTCATCTGCTGCAGAAGCTGTAATCACCAGTCCCAAGAAGGCTTTGCCGCCGCTAGCCTCTTTTCAGCCCCCAAAGCCGCCACGAGTTGTTGTCAGCCAGAACGAGGAGTCAGAGGCTGCAGCGTCTGTCAGTCATCATCTCCATGGCATACCCAGCATCGGATCTGAGAAGGCATCGAGGATCGGTGGCGTCGCCAAGTCTGCCGAACAGCTGACAGAGAAGACGGAGTCGACCAACTTGTTCCATCAAGACGACAACTCCTTGTCCAACAGGCCCCCAAGCCCTTACTCGTCCTCGTCCTCCTCTTCCAAGAGCGGGAAGCGAATTGCCACAAAGGACCTTAGACGAGCTCTGCATAAGGTCAAGAAGCTAGACGCTCTCTCGGGCAAACATTCTACTCAACTTGAAGACCAAGGCGGTCAGGTCCTCGCCCAGACACAGAGACTAGACAACATTGAGCGAGCTGTCGGAGAGCAGGCTAGCAATTCCTACAACTTTGCCATGGAACTGGAGGCACACACAACTTTCCTCAAGAAACAGGATCTCGCACTGGCACAACTCCGCAATGACAACCAGGCCCTACGAGCATGTCTCCAGGACGTGCTATATCCCCTCGCCCAGGCTGTCAATACGATGCACAAGTCGACTAAGAGGGACAAGAAAACGCTTGAGGCAAACGCCAAGAGAGCCAAAAAGGAATTAGAGGAGTTTGAGGCCGCGGGCAGGAACGCCGAGGCCGTGAAGCGAGGTACTCGGAATCTTGGCCAGATTCTGCGGGCTCCCCAGGGCGATAGGATGGACATGGATTGATACAATCTTACACATGCTGGTGGGCTTTATTTGGTTTGAAGGGAGGACTTTTTTACTGGGAGATGGGTTTTGCAGCATATGGAGAAATTGGAGGGTGCCTACTCACATGAAAGGGCGAATTGCGAGCATCATCTCTTTAGGTCATCAACAGGATCTGACTGGAGAAAGAGCATTTGGCTTCAATGGTGGAGCTAGATCAATCGAACTAGATAGGCTCGTACGCACCTTTACTTTCTCGGTAACCCAAATACAGCGATGATTTACACGACCTTGTTCTTCACTTATCTGTTTCGCCGTGACAGTCTACCACTGAAGTGACTGATATCAGCGATGTATCTGAAGCCAACGAAAGCGAGGCCCAAGGATCAATCACAGAGGCATCCGGTTTCACGAGAGCTGCGAAGACAAGGATACAGGCAGGACTCGACGATATCAATAAGACAAAACCAATGAGCCTTGGAAACGTTTGAATTCGAGCTGAGGTGAGGGTAAAGGTGAGAAGAACCAAATAGACCCCTCTCTCGCCTTATGACGATGGCCATGGAGAAGAAAATAAAATAAAACCCAGGACTCCATGAACAATGCAAGCCGGAACACATTGAAAAAGGCCATGAACAATTTCGCGTCTCGCAACGGCGCAGCCAATCTCCCTAACAAGCAAACGGGACAGAAAACCCTCGAGGTTCAAGTAGACCTCTGACGCTTGCGATGACGATGATTCCGCGTTTGAACGTGGTGCTCGTACCCATTATCCGTTGGAAAATAGACTCCAACGTTCCCTTCACACATGTCCAACCCTTCAACGAGCTTCATCCAGTTGGCTGGTCCCCCCTATCCCCCAAAATCCTCTACCAACCAATTCAGTGATCATCGCATCAACGTCCGTCCAAATTTTGAATGCCAGCAGTTGATATTGCAGCTTTCGTCGCATAATTCCACCATGGTATTTTCAGAACATTAATCAAACTTTCGTGACTCTGACATCATTTCGTTTCATCTCTCTCTCCGACCCCTTTTTCGTGAACAGCTTTGTGGCTCACTGATAGCGAAACCACCATGGAAAACAAAAAATCAATCATCAAAAAAACGCATTTCATTATTTTTCCTTTTTATCGTAGAGTTCAGTTTTCCTCGTCATCTTCCTCAATCGGCGCCGGTGTCCGTCGCTCTGTACGTCTCTTTGGTCGTCGATGGCGTGAACTGCTAATGTTACTCGCCGAATCGTCGGGGGCCAGCTCAAAGTCGTCGCCTCCCCATTCGCTGTCGCTATTGGCGTCGTAGTCGCCTTGCGCCCAGCTGGGCCGTTCGTAGCCTGATGACTGCGAGTTGCCGGAGCTCGGATTGGGCAGAACATCGATCCGCCGGCGGCTTTGAAGGCTGTGCATCAATCCTGCTCCGCGGTTGCGCAACCCCGTGCGGACGACTTCGGCCCTGAGGTGAAGGGCTTCGAACGCGTCCTCCAACGCCTCCATACCCTGGTAGATTTCTCGCTCTACCTCTGCCAAGACGGCCATCTCCATCTCTTCGTCCCGTGATACTGCCTGCTTGTTGGCCGCCGCGGATGATGCATTGCTCACAAAGGACGCGGGGGTGGCGCCGCGAGAGTAGGCGGAGAATGGTGTAGTGTTGCGAGATGCTGAGAAGCCTGGCGTTCCTCGCACGCTAGGGCTCATGGTCCCTGGCCGAGAGGGGTAGTAACCGCTCGCAGGGGTGGCGCCACGGGACTCAGCTGTAGGAGTGTCATCGCCATCAGCTCCGGACCAGAGGAAGCCATCGAATCGTCCAGAAGTCAGAATCTCCCATTCTTGTGTGTTGATGTCGGACATGGTGACAAGTAGATCGTGGGTGTGGGGGTTCTTGACGAGGTACATGGCAACCTCTGCGTCTCGGGGTACTTGTTGTAGTCGGTAAAGACGCTGCAGAGCCAAGCCGGCTCTAACAAGGAGATCCGGGCGGGCGCGGTGCAAGGGTGTAGGAGCCCTTGTTGCCGGCTTCGGGTGATTAGAGCCAGCCAGAATTGCGTTAAAATACGGCTGATCTTCCGGGTCCATATTGGTGAGAATAGCAAACGTGAGTGTCTCATCGTCTACATCTTGTGGCGGCGGCGCGGTGGTCTCTCCGCAGGTGTTGAGCCACTTATCCACGGCTCCCCTGACTTTCTTAGACTGTCTGAGGTAGTGCTCGCGGAACTCCTCGGCAATATCAGGGTCTATCTTGACCGGCGAGTCGGGCCGTGGTGGCAGCTCTGCTGACACTTCGGCAGCATTGGATCCCAAGCTGGCCAGGTCAAAGGGTGGCCATTGCGGAAGATCGATGCGACCGCTAACCCATTCGAGGACCTCTCCCCAGCCGAGGCCACGATGTTGAATATCGGGGCCTCTTTCACACACGACACAAGTGCATCCGTGCTCAGGAAGCTCTCTGGAAAAGACGTTTTCGAGGCGGTCTAGAAGACGGCGGGCCACAGATCGGTGGCCAGTCGCAACTGCTACGGAGCCGTTGCGGTTGAGAACCGAGTTGTACTGGTCCAAGAGGTTGAAAAAGGGTGCGAACAAAGTCTGCGGGCCAACTAGGGGTGGGTTAGATGGCCGGGCGCCATTCTGGCGAGGTAGAACAGAGAGGAATGTTTTCGGGATTGGCTGGATCAGACCGCCGTTCTGTAAAAGGTAGTCCACCCGCGGTGCTTCCTGTACATCCAGGGCTGGAGGTGGTGGCGGGGGAGGAGGAGGTCCCGTTGGAGGAGGCATATCAGTCATTGGAGTGGCCGATGGTGTGATGTCGTTTTCGGGGTAAACCTGTGGAGGAGGGCCCGGAGGCTTGTCGTTCATGGCGAAGGGCGGTGGGAATGGTGGTGCTTGCGTAGGGGTTCTAGGAGATGAATCCTGCAGGCTTTCGGGAGACGAATCGCCATCGTGATACTCTGCACGCCGGCTTTTCTTGCTCGAGGAGCTTCGCTTCGAGGAAGATCTAGAAGTGCTCGGCTTGATATTCAAGCTTTCCTGAACGCCAGGTGGGAACGCCGGCGACTTGACGTACGTCGCCTGACTGCTAGTCTTTGACTTGAAGCTCACCCTGGACTTATCGTCGGCTCTGGAGCCGGATCTCGACAGACCACTGAGACGCGAGCTCGGCCTGTCTTCTCGGTCTCTCTTGGATGTCTCGCCGCTAAGTCTCGAGCTCGAACGCTCCTCACGCACCTTCTTTGACGATTCCTCGGGGGTGGCAGATCGTCTCTTGCCCGACAAGTCGGTCTCGGGCGGACTAGGCGGCCTCGACTCCTTCTTGGACGAACTCTTGCGCTGCTTGTCGGAATGATCGACGCTCTGGGATCGCTTGAGTTCGCTGTCGCCCAGATCGGTGGCCTCGGGGGTGAATGGATCGGCCCTTCTCGTGGCGCCAACGCCCGATCCTGAGACGTCCTCACGACTATTGCGGACGGCCTCTTTGCTGTGTGCCTTGCTGAAGGTCGGGTAGGGAAGCGAGATGCGGTCAGTCGACGCCGGACCAGTCAGCGAGGTCCGAGACATTTCGGGAACGAGGTCGGTCATGGAAGAGGAGCGGTCGTGTCCGCGGTCTCTCTCTCGGTCGCGGTCTCGTTCTTCGCGGGTGCGGTGGCGGCGGTGGGAGTGGGAATGGACGTCACTGCCGAGGCCGCTGCCGTCGGCGATTTTCGATTTTGAGGAGCGGGAGCTCACGCGGTGGGATCGGTGTTCCCTGTCTCCCTTTTCTCTGTCGGACCTGCTGCTGCGCTCTGATTTGCTTCGAGATGCCTTCTTTTCGGCCTTTTCACTTTTCTCGGCCTCCTTGCGCGGGCGCATATCCCCAAAGTCGGGGAGGGAGATTACTCGGCCATCAGCGTCGACATCGACCTCGACGTCACGATCTTGGGAGGACATGGCGGAGCATGGGTGCGTAGCCCGAGAGAGCTAGCCGAATCGCTTGTGCTTTGCTGCGGGGGTTTCTTCGAGTCGTAGTAGTGGTAGAAAGGTTGACTGTGACGGTGACGGTGACGGTGACGGGGTCGAGTCGAAATGCCGTCGGCGCAACGAGTAAGAGGCAAGAAAGTTGACCGACAGCGAAGCTTGCCAAAGAGGGTGGTGGTGGGTAGGAAGGTTTCTGGGAGCCCAAAAGGCAAAGCGGACCGTGGTTCGAGGTCCAGGGTGGGATGGTTCAGTGTGTTTGAGTTCCAAGATGTCGAGAAAGCTGGCGGGAAGAAGGAAAAGGGAACCGAAGCAGGCAGGACCTGGTCTGGGGGTTTGCTCACCGACCCTCGTCGTCTTGAGCAAAGAGGGCGGGAGTTGTCACAAAACTGGGGAATTTCTGGAAAAATGCGCACCCCTGACTTGGACCGAACGGTAGGTGGCGGGGGGAAGGATCCGTTTGGCTCTTCGTTTGCTGCGTCTAATGTTTGGAGCGTCAGGAATGATTCGGTTTAACTTTTTCGAGATGTGGTCGTTGTCGTCGGGTCGTGGAAGGCAGAAAATGGAAAATGATGCAAGAAGGACGAGAGAAGTAACGAGACGGGAGATGGATGGATGGATGTCCCCAACCGAGGGAGTGAATGAGTGAGGTGCACACTTCACCACCAAAGTCATGAGTGCAGGCCAAGGCCAGGCGGGAGGGATGAGTCTAAGGTAACGGGAGTGGAAAGACGGGCGGTTGCAAGCAGTTGACGAGCAACGCAGCCGAATGTGATTCGATCAGAGGGGCAGCACCCCCCCTGTAAGGCGTTGAAGGGAACTGCGGCGGGTTGGTTGGTACTTTGGGTACAGGGACAGGCAGGCTGGGTGGCCCACACCTGAGTCTCTACGTTACTGCATCTAGGTATGGGTGTACGCTACCGCTTCTTGCGTGCCTCACAGCGTAAAAGCGAAGGAGGGGGTGGAGAAGAATAACGGGGAGATGGATGTCAAGGGAAGGCAGGCGAAGGGTGATTTAAGAGTAGGTGAGTAGGCGGTGACACATGTCCATCTGCAACGCATTATTCGGGCACTGATTCAGTTGAGGTCAGTGTCGAATGAGTGATTTGGTGAGGAGGTATCCGTACCTTAGATAGTATGCAATACCTACCTACCCTAAGTAGACCTGTGGCCAGAACCTGACGTGGCACCGGGCTGAGTTGCAACGAGTTGCGCCTGGACTGGACGGCGACGCAATGGGACTGTGGGAGGGAAGTCCCTTGGGGATCCACAACGGGCACTGCCAGAAGCTCGGGCCACACCCATCACGTTCATTGGTAGATTCCATCAGCCAGTGTCCCGCCGTCAAGAAACCGTCTCTGCACACGGTACAGAACATGCGTGTGAAACGGGCACAACGTACCGTTTCAAAAGCGAACGAGAGCTCGGTATCGCACCGTGTGACATCCTCTCTGCCCATCAGCTCCCACGGATTCTAAACATCGGACATGATCTGCCTACCCTTACCTTGGCACCTTGGACAAGCAGACCAGCACGTTCCTCGACGATTTAGCATCGTGGCTGACGGGCAAATAGACGAAGCCATTCGCCATCGTACACAGACATAGTTAATCACCTATCTTTACCAAGCAGGCAATATGCCTGGAGTGCCTGGCTTAACGATAAACCAGAAAGTGGCTGTACTGTCTCAGTCCAAGCAATGATCAAATATCAAACCACTTCTCTACGCAAGGTCGCGGCGGTAGGTACTCTAATAGGTAGTCTCGAATAACCTCGAGCAAGAATGGTCTACATGGGCCCGCTATCGACCCGAGTTTCGTCTCGAAGCGCACCTCGCTTTCCCTCCGTCATGGCTGCGAAAATGTCTCTCGCTTCGCATCATCTCGGAAAGCAAACGCACAAGATCATGCCCACCTATACCGCACAAAAGTCGCCATCACAGTGCTCCAAGAGAGAGAGAGAGAGAGAGAGAGAGAGACATTGCTGCCTCAAATAGAAATGCCCATGTCTCACGTACCTGACTAGACTCGCTGGACTACCGGGCCATATACCACTTACTTACCTTTAGCATCAACACTTAGAGTACCTAATGTACGCCGATACACTTTCCATCCAACAAACTCGATGAACCAACCTGACCATCAAACGTTCATCTTGCACCCGAAGACAGACTGACAGACTGACAGAGTGGATAAAGTAACTAGAATGCTTCCCAAAATAAACCCCATCCTGGCCCAACCAAACTACACTACTACTTTACCACCCCTCCTCCCATGTATTGATACCCTTCCACCCTTTCCCTCCCTACCTCCTCTTCCGCAAAGAAACGGCGCGCGAACCCGCCGTCCATCGGGCACCAACAAACGAACCGCATGGGTGCAGCGTCCCGTCGAGCTGTCTCTCGCACCAATCACCGCCCCGCCCAGCAACTAAGCGCCCGGGCCATGCATCCTCGTGCTTGTCTCTCGCGCACCACACCACCATGAATCAATCAATCAATCAACCCACCATCATCTCTATGCCATTATCCGAGGTTGTTCGAGGTAGGTAGGCGTAGCTACTTGATCTCGAATGATTCGGTTTTGTTTGACCCTTGTAAGCAAATCTTATCTGGTACCGCCCATGTTGGATGGTCGCTCGTTTCACCGTCACATCCAATTCAGATCGATCCCATGGAGCAGTATCATTCAAGTATCGTTCCATTCCACTATTCAGCCATATGTGGGTAAAAGTAATGTGTTATCCAACTCTCCAACCCTAGCCTACTATATGATGCTTTATAGCCATCTCTCTTGCATAAAATAACTCGTAAAAATTCATCATCAAACAACTTTTATATCCCAAGGTTGTCTTTGAAGTCTCAACTCCGATGTATATATATCCACCCAATTTTTTGCGCTTTGAGAAGAGGTCTACGCGCATGTACGCTCTATGCCGTATAAATCACACTTATATCGCTCATTGATGAAAGTCTGCAAAACTCTTGCGTTTACAAACGGTCCAGGAGACCCTGGCTCTCGAGGAGCAGGACAATCTGGTGAACAATGGAGCGGACCGTCTGCTGCTCGAGGTTGACAACGAGGTCGGCCTTGGCGGGCGCCTCATACGGGTCATCGACGCCGGTGAAGCCCTTGATGTCGCCGTTGCGCGCCTTCTGGTAGATGCCGCGCTTGTCCGTCTTCTCGGCGTACTCGAGCGGGGTGGCGACGTGCACGAGGAAGAAGGGGCCGGCCTTCTCGACCAGCTCGCGCGCCTTCTGACGGGCCTCGTCGAAAGGCGCAATGGGCGCAGCAATGACGGCGGCGCCGGCGCGGGTGAGCTCTGAGGCGACGAAGGCGATGCGGCCGACGTTCTTGTCGCGGTCCTCGCGGCTGAAGCCGAGCTCGGAGGAGAGCTCGTGGCGGACAGTCTCGCCGAGAAGGAGGGAGACGGAGCGGCCGCCGCCCTGGTTAAGAGTGACCTGAAGGGCCTTTGCGATCTGATCCTTTCCGCTGTTGAGCAGGCCAGTGAGGAAGATGGTGAAGCCCTTTTGGGCGGGGAGGGGGTTCTGCTCGCGCAGGACCTTGACGACCTCGGGGTAGGAGAACCACGCGGGGATCTCCTTGCCGGTCTTGAGGCGGTTGCGGAGCTCGGTACCAGAGATGTTGGCGGTGTGGGTGCCAGGGGCGATCTCGTTGGCGGGCTGGTACTCGTCGCGGTCGGGGATGTAAATCATCTCCTGGAACTCGACCATGGTGATGCCGAGCTCGTCAGAGTACTTCTGAACGGCGACCTGGGCGTCGTACGGGCCGTAGTGGTCCTTGCCGTTCTTGTTCTTGCCGGGGCCGGCGTGATCACGGCCGACAATGAAGTGCGTGGCGCCGTGGTTCTTGCGGATGATGGCGTGCCAGATGGCCTCACGGGGACCGCCCATGCGCATAGCCAGGGGCAGCAGGGCCAGGGCGGCCATGCCGTTGGGGTATCTGGGGAGGAGAGCCTTGTAGACGCGGACACGGGTGAAGTGGTCAATGTCACCGGGCTTGGTCATGCCGACGACGGGGTGGATGAGGACGTTGGCTTGTTGGGAGCGGGCGGCACGGACAGTGAGCTCTCTGTGGGCGCGGTGCATGGGGTTGCGAGTCTGGAAAGCGACGACCTTGTTCCAGCCGAGCTTCTCAAAGTGCTGTCTCAACTCGGCGGGGGTGACTTTTGGTACTCGTTAGTCTCGATGTTCTGGGTTTTGCTGCGTTGGTATGCGCCAAGGGCGTGGTGGACTTACATCTGAGGTCGAGGAAGTCGTAGTGAGCAAGACGCTGGATAGCCTCGAGCTTACCGCCAACGTAAAAGTCATTGGTGTTGTTGAAGAGGTGCTTCACACCGGGGTGGGTGTCGTCGTCGCTGCCAAAGACCTCAATGGCCTCCTTGACTCTAGAGAAACATGTCAGCCAATGCCAATTCCCTGAAGACATGTTTGACCTACCTGTCGGGCTTGTAGACATCCTCGACGGTGAGGATGGCAAGGTTGCGGTCGTCTCTGAGGTCGCGGAGGGTGATGCGGGCACCGGGCTTGATGGAGAGGGTGTCAATCTGCTGTTGGGAGACATCGAGAGTGATGGGCATGGAGAAGAGAGCGCCATCGGCGAGACGGTTGTCCTTGACGACTCTGCACCAATTGTGTTAGTAACCAGTGTTTTCTCGGGAGCAAGTCTTGTTCGCATGTTCAACGTACCCATTGTAGTCCTTCTCGGTCATGAAACCTATAGAGATGCCACCACAGTCAGTCCCGCTGTTCTTGAGCGAGCAACGTAATCGTGGGGAACTTTGCCCCTCCAAAAAAAATCATGGCGGGGTCGTTTCCGCGACGCAACCCCACCGGCGTCGTCGCGCAACGGATGCAGAAGGGGGGGCAGCCGCTGCTGCTGCAGCCAGCAGAAAGTAGCAGCAACAGCGCGGGCAGGAAATACCACGTACCTTCGAGAGGAGAGAAACCACCGTTGAGGATCAGCTCAAGATCGCAGAGGTGACGCTCGGTCAATAGGAGAGAAGGGAGCTTGTCGGCCTCGGCAAGCAGCTCAGACTGGCGCGGCGCATCGCGCGCGAAAAGGTCCTTGAGGACACCGCCGTGGGGAGAGTTGGCCATTGCGTATGTTTTTGAAGAAAGCACGAAGCTTTGTAATAGGGAGAGGGTTATTATGGGATCGTCAAAAGACACACTCTAGACAATGCTTAGAGAGGAAGAGAGAGAGAACACACAACGAATTGAGCCTGCAGCTTCTCGTTGTAAAGGGAATATTGGGTATAAAAAGGTAAATGGGAGGGGATTCACGGATGAAGTAGAAGAGACAGGAGAACAAGCGGGAGAGGGAATCTGGCGAGGAGACGGGCGCGGGCAAAGGTGTCTTTTATTCTCCTCAGACACACAGACAGAAGGACAGAGACAAAGTGAGAGAATTGTCGCTCGTTCCCGGCGTCAAATCGGCCTTGCGTGTGTTGCTGAGGTGCGCTGCTGGTGCTGTACGGATACCCCGTTGTCCAAGGTAAAAATTGGAGGCTGTTTAGTTCAAATGACGTGATCGCTACCTTGCACATGTACCCTCCTTGGCGGCATGCCATGTACTCTTAATTACCAATGTTGGCTCTTTGTAGCCCTCTCTGCCGCAGTCAGCCACGACTAAGTCATGTTCGCCACGATAAGTTACCGTAAGGTCCCATCCCATCCCATCCCATTCCGTCCGAAAAGAGGCTTGGTCGCGGTGCGTAGCCGCGGAAAAAGTCTGCTCTTCTCCATGCTGTTGCATATCTGACCCGGAGACTGACCCATGGGAGATCCATGAAGCCGTGGGGTCGCTGTTTTGCAATGTCGCGGCTCGGTGTTCCGGCATCTATTAGGCGTCGGGACGGGTATTGGTAATAACCTACTCCAGGTCTGATAGAACACCTCGACCCAGCCTGACCACCGCAGGTTTACATTGCGTCCAAGAGGAAAGCAGAGACTTCTCGGAATAGCGTAGAAACCTGCGATACCAGCGCAACGAGTTCTTCATCAAGGGTCCTGGTCGGTGGTATGGCGCAACGAAGATTGCCAACTCAAAGTACCCCGCCAAATGTGGCTTGATAACCCCCGATATCAATCATCAGGGACCCTGCGCCACGTTCTACCCTCCTCCTGACTCCCGACAACGCGCCATTGCAAGACAATTCCGTGCCAGAAGCTGCAGGACAAGCCGCAGAGACGTTGTCAAAGTTGCAATTCCTGCCTCATCTGGCGTGCTGGCGCCCAGCCTCTTGGCTTAGGCTAGACACCTGTAACCTCACCTTGAAGAGCTCACCAACAGAAGGGCTGAGAATACCAAGCGTCTTCCGCCCTTGGCTACTCTTGGCGTCCTATCAACGTCCAAGACTCGAAAGATATGTCAATTCTGTATTGTAGAAGACCGTGATGGCCTCTTGCGCGCCATTCAGATTGTCACGATGGCGACATGCCGCTCTTTGCAAAACTTCCATCGTGTTTCTTGGCACATGTCGTTCGAGACCAGAAGTCATTGCACGTGTTACAGAACAGTATGCTGGCCGGTTCAACGTGGACCCGATCCTTTGGATAGGCTTTTGACAGCAGCTTATCTGAAAGCTTGTAGATCTCGTCCAAGAATCTCATGTCTCGACTTGGACCGTTTCGATCTCTTTGCTACGAAGTGCAATCGGTCAGCTCGGTGAGGGTGGTGGGGTAGCCCCGACGTCCGCGTCGATCGGCTGCGCGGTTGTCGGTTGCCGGTCCCCGGCTGCCGGCTGCGGGGTTAGCCCGATGTCGCTTGACACACCGAGATCCCTTGCTCCAGTTCTTTTCTCTATGCCGTGGACATTGATGACATTCCGTGTCCACTCCTTGGCCGCCATGCTCCACCACCAGCCAAGTTCCCGAGACTAAGTTCCTGAAGATCTATGGCTCCGGAACTTCATTGGCTATTCGCTGTGGTGGATATTCTTCTTCGCGGAATCTTGTCTCCATGGAGTTTCGCCCACTCAATTCCACAATACTGAGCGTAGATCATCGAGAAGTGAAAACTCGGATATCCTATGACGCCAGAGGTACCATAGAGGCTAGGTTCGTAACGATGCAGTGTTCAGGTTGTCCCTCTTTGGGGAATTTCTGTTTGTAAAACCTCGCGTTTCCCAATTTTGGTTTCGTTGGGGTTGTCTGATTGGATCGTTGGTTGTTGGATGCAACTGTCCGAATAAAGACTTGTGCCGTTTTCTATTCCTCTGTGTTAAGCCATGAAAATCTTCCAAGCTTGAACTGTGCACTTGCAAGCCTTTCAACGAGACAGAATACCCTTAGGTGAAGATGTCTTTCGACAGGTTTCAACACCCTAGGCAATAGCCTCCGCATAGGATTCCTGCGCTCACGCGATCGCCAGCACATTCGGATACACTACTAGCACGCCTCCAGGTTCAAGTGCTCTAGTTGGAGATTTCACATGACGTGAATGACCTCTCCGTCCTCCAGATACGAGTACCTCATCAAACCAGGGACGACCGAGCTTCTTCGCTTTCTTTGATGCCTTGCCATCTCTATCATTGGGAATTGTTTCGTCACTCAAGATCAAACCATCCTTGGCCAGAGACCTCGTCACGCTTTGCTGGAGCGTTCATACGTATCCCTATAGCATTGCCGAGACTCCTCTGGCGGTGGCAATGGCATTGATGCCGACGGCTGAGTACGTGTTCAGACTGAGCGAACTAGTACCTGGCGCACACATATAGGCGTGGTTAAGTTTTCGAAAAGAAGCAGCGCAATCCCTTCTCAAGGCAGTCGGCTACTGTAGTTTCAACAAGGTCAATGGTATCTGGGTTCGTATGCTTCTGGTGGTTTCGGAACGCATTCCGCCTGGCAATGAAGTCCGATATCAATATTTAACTCATCGACTCTGTGGATCCACGAGTAACAGCTCGCGCAGACCGGTTCTGCAGTCAGTCAACTGCGGTGAGGAATACTCTCCTTCGTTTATGAGAAGATTCCTGTCATTGGAACAAAGTAAAGCAGGGCATCTAGGCAATTGGCCAAGTTTGCGGCTCTGCCTGGTGCCCCTTGAACGATATTGATAAGGCTGTTGGACCCAACGGGCTCTAGCCGTGCCGGTAATGGATGCAATGCAGCAGTGCAGCTCCTAAACGAAGTGTTCTACTCGCCAGAGTTCACAAGTCGCCTAGCGGTCATCTGGGCTCGAGGTAGCAATTGCAGGAACGACGAAACCCATGGTCCAGCCTCTTCTTATGATTCCAGAGAGACAGAGCAGCTTACCATGAAAGCATGAATGTTGGATGACTCGACCGTATTTGAGACTCGATGCTCGTCCAGATACCCTTCAACCAGATTCGAGAGCCGGCTAAGCGAATGGCCATTTCCTTTGTATGGTGTCTGGGTTGTTGCAAAGTGATGAAGTCATAGTTCCGCGCCGTCTCTTCGCGAATTCGACATGCATGTGTCTTAAAGCCACCGCTAGGCAAATGGGGTGTTGCTAAGCAGGGGTTTTGGCGACCGAGAAGTCAGCCGGTACTAGCATTTCTCGACTGTGAATCTCGATGCCAGCTTCTTTTCCATCGAAGGATTTCGTGGCAGAAAGGGTAGATCGGCTGGACCTGTTCATTCCATGGAGCCGTATCGACGCAGCGTGCCGTCTGGACTCGAGGCGGCTCTAGGGCAAGCCGCCCCGGAGGTTTACACCTCCTAGACGCTTCAGAATGTAGCCGGACCTCGTGGCAGAAGTACTTCTGACCAATGGTGATGCAGCACGAGGGAGATGGAGTCGAGTTGCAGACCAGTGGTCGGGAGATGGACACGCAGATCTGCGGTGAGTGTTAGCTTAAAAACGTTTGGCAACAGGGAGATGGGATATCCCGGCTCGTTTGGGAAAGAAAAGGCTTGGATTGGCGGATTTGGTGCTGGGCATCGTTGGCAAGCTTCTTGTGTGGCTGGGGATGGACGTCGAGTGGAATGGGTTTCCCGCCGTGGTGGAGTACGATGGGGTCTTGTTTCTCGAATGGCGAACGCAACGGTTGAGGATTCGGGAGACGCTGCTCCCGCCTAATAGTTCTTGATGTCTTGCTCTTGAATAGTACTCGGAACGGATGTTCGTTGGCAACGGAGCGGGGAACTTTGAAAAATGCCAAAGATGGCGCACCTGATGCGCACGTGTATCCGTGATGTGCCTGGCACGCCGCTCCGGACTAAGGCGGCAAATACGGGTTTGAATTGTCTTGGACGCCGAGACTTTGGGAAGCCGCAAGCTGCGTTTAGGTCGGTAGCGTTCCGGATCAGCGGTGGTTGAATAGCTCGCCATTGACGATTCGGGTGGCTGGTTTCAGACCAAGTCGAACTATTTGTGTACGAAGTACTCCGTATGAGCACAAATATGTGAGTGACGAAATGATTATAACAAGTCCAAGTCGGCCATGGAAGCAGTTTATTAGAATTGGCTTGCGGTCGAGCAGAGGTTCTGAGTAGGAATGAGAAATCGGCATCTTGACAATCTACTACGTAAAGAGAGAAATATGCCCCACGCAACCTCAGTTGAAGCAGGAATACAGAGCAAGAGAAGAGTCCGATGCAGACTCGGTCTTACGATAATTGATGGCTGGAGGATGGAAGCGAACGAAGATCGCGGCGCCGCCGAAGCATGGGCCAACGGCCAGGTCAGAGCTCTTCCCTTTAGAGCTGTCTGGTACGTACCGCTCTGCCTAGAACAGCAAGCTGCTTTTCCCTAGGTACCTTACCTTAGGTAAGGTTAAGATGGGTACACAGTCACTAGAGCGTAAGCGGCTAGAGTATGGTAGAAATCGATACAGATCTCGCTAGGTCAATGATGTTAGCGGTCCGACTGATCCGAAGAGGCTTTTCCACAGGGAGCATACCGACTTTCCAAGAATTGGTCTCAACGTGCCTGAATGTGAGGGTTGCACCAAGTATCATCGCCCGATTATCACGCCCGGGTACCTAATGCACCCGCTATGCACGCCTGATTTTGATGGAGCTGAGCTGATGCATGGGAATTGTAGGTATCTTCGCAATGAGTGACCTGGCCCAGTGGACTCGACGTCAGTGGTTATCCCTAGAATACGTGTCCTCATAGTGCAAGGAGAAAGGTAGGGAACATGGAAGTGCCTGGTAGGAATCGGTACATATCTTAGGTTGCGTACGTGGTTGTTGTTTGTGCGGAGAGTGACATGTGTCATTGGGAATTGTGCTATCAACCTTGTTTTCCAGCCCGAGTGCTGCAGCAAACTAGGTCCGGATGCTGCCGCCATCGTCTTCTCGGGTTCGTTTTACTCGCACACGTTTTTCAGTCATTTTGCCTTGGATCGAGATGAATGGTCTGGGATGCTTCACAGGTTCTGATCGCTCGCAATGCCCAATACTAGTGGCCAGAGTGACCAGACTCCCAGAGCAGGTCTTCGTACCGCTAAGCAGCGCCGTGCGTGCTGATGCCATCCATGATCCCGGCGCCATTACCCCTGCCCCCGTATCCCGGTTTCGACCAGTTTCGGGCAGGTCGAGCTGCAAAGGAAAACGGCCCAAAAAGCACCAGTCTGTACCACCAATCCACCACCCATTCGTGCTCCATCTGCCCTTGTCCGTCGACCGTTTGCCGGTTCCAGGCCAGGGCCCATGAAATGGCATTCCAAACTAGACATCTTGCCCAGGTATTCCTACACTAAATGCTAAGTGACTGAGGTGTGTGTGTGGTGAGGTGGGTAAGGTAGATAGGTACCTCTGTTACCGCCCGCCCAGGCACACACACCGTACCGCTGTAGAATCATCATATGAATACGAGATATCCCTTCCTCACCCTTTCTTACCATCCACTCTCGTCCATTCATTCACCCATGTCTGTGGCCTGCCTGTGCCTCTCTTCTTTCCTCCCCTCTGCTCTTACGGATACTCCTCCTGCCTCTCCCAGCTCACCCGTCAGCTTCTTCCCCAGACTATATTCGTATCCGGTTCTGAACCCTGACCTGATCCCGCCTTCGCCTTGTTCTTAACCGACCCGGTTCGAGTAACCGCCGTCTGCAAGTGTCCGCTGTCGCGCCCGATTCACCACTGCGGATACAATTGCAGTCTGCGGCTTACTGGAGTCTGGCTTCCCTGTTTGGCTGAATCACACCCCAAATCCAGAATCACACCAGCGCCCTGCCGGTCCGCTCATCCTTGCCGTCGGTTCTGCGCCGATTTGGGGACAATCTTGAATATCAAAGACAAAACCCCTGCAAGACGGCCATTATCTTGCACTTGCCTCCCGCCACTACGGACCCTTCTCGCCCCTACCTTGCCGCTCTTCTCCTGAGGCTTTTCTACGCGCGCCGTCAAAACACAATCGATAATCCAACAACAACAATTTCTCCAGCAATCTTCACGACAACTCGGCTCCATTACTCCGTACCCTTTGTGCCGTTGCCCCAGCAGGATATTGCTTCGACCTCACGCAGAAACGTACTAGTCGCTCAACATCCTAGTCGAAGCACCCCAAACACCTCCATCTCGTCTCGGACAGGACCCTGAGCTCTCCACCATTCATCAAGGCACTTTCTGCTGCTTCGGGAAGCCCACTTACGATCTTCCGTGTCCTCCGAGCCAACTCCAAACTTCGACCCAGCCAAGGCATGCGACACAACTGAATACCTACATGTCTTTTGCCATTGCTCCTCAGCACTTGGTTCGATTTCCTCTAGACATCGCCGCTCCCACTACGACATAACCCGCATTCGCCGTCTTCGTGTGCACACCCATCAGCATCCTTCGGGCATACCAGCCCAGGAGTTCCCGAATCGCCCGGTCGCTCCTTTGCGCCAACCGCCCACGATGGCCCGATTCGGAGGCTCGACCTCGCTTGCCGCGACCCTGATCGTTCTGTTCAGTTTCTTTGCTACGGTCCTGGCAGCCACGGAAACTGTCTACATCACCGGCTCAGACAAAGATGGCAACAGCAAGCAGCTCGCGGTCAATCGCAACCCTGGCCTGTTTACTGGCGATTTTGGCGACTGTCTGGGAGGACAAAGTTTGTTCAACATTACAAAATTCGATGCCGCCTACTATGCCGACAACATGACCGTCCAGTTCCATTTGGACGGTACCACCAATATCAGAAACGAATCATTAATGAGTAGGTTGAACCAAATCTGAACGTTTGTCCTTGTACTAACCACATACTGCAGTGCATATCAACGTCGAAGCTTGTAAGCTACATTCAGAACTTGGGACGAACCTGTACGCAGAGATGGGGTATGCTGACTTGAGGCAGATGGCGAGACGAGATTCGAGATGAACTTTAACCCCTGCATGGCCAACATCGCTAGGTATGTACTAGCCCCTACGCCTCTCAAGACGGTCTGCTAACTTCCCGCAGTCTGTGCCCTCTGAACGCCAGCAAGCCCATCACTGCATTTGCAGAGTTCAGACTCACGCCTGCTCAGATCGACGGCATTCCTTCCATCGCCCTCGATATTCCCGATTTCGAAGGCTCTGCGCGCATCCAGATCTTTGCAAACTCAAGTCAGACGCAGATAGGATGTTTCCAAGCCGTCATGCGGAACGGCAACAGCTTCTCCCACCCAGCCGCGATCTCGTCAATACTGGGGGTGTTCACGCTCGCCGCTATCTTGGCTTCTACAGCAACCGCCATGTATGGTGTTAGCATGCCTCATATTAGGACACACTACGCCCATTCTCTGTCAGTCCTGGTCATCTTCGAGACTTATCAGACCGTGTTCTTCTCAGGTGCCTTGTCCGTCGACTGGCCTAGCGTCCTACCCGCCTGGTGGAGCAACTTTGGATGGGCCGCCGGCATGATATACAGCAAAAAAGTAATCAACTCGATCGACGGTTTCGCCGGCGTGACTGGCAATGCCAGCCAAGTAGGCGGTGCAGGATCGACCGTTATCAACACCGGAGGTGGCCTCGTCCAGCAAATTTATGGCCGCTCGCTCGACACTTTCTCGACGTCTAGCGATGGAGCGTCCGGTCCGAATCTCGTGCAGCGAGCGACTAGGGTTTACAACACAAGCAATCCATACGAATACTACTGGGCGGGAGACCCCGTCGCTCCGGGCATGCCTACACCAGGCAAGTGGATTGGGTTCGCCGGAGACCTTTCTGCCCTTGACATCCCGGCCGCCGATGCTTTCACACTTGGTCTTATCTGGTGGTTGGTGGCCATTGGACTGGTCGCCGTCTCCATCGCTGCGTTCAAGTTCATGCTCGACTTGCTTGCTCGGACAAAGCTGATTAAGCAGGATCGCTTCTTGTACTTCCGCAACCACCTGGGTGGATATCTGGCAGTTGGCGTCCTGCGCACGCTGCTCGTTTCGTTCTCCTCCTTGATGACCCTAGCGCTATTCCAGTTCAACATTCGCGCGCCGGCCGGCCCGACGGCTATTGCGGCGATCATCTTCATCATCTTGCTGATTGGCGTTGGCGGCCTTGTAGCTTACGCATGTTTCTTCCGTCTCCGCCTCGGCAAGTATGAAATGGGCCCCGATACGATCATGTTCGAACAGGGCAAGCTCTTTGGTTCAATACCAGCGGTTGCAACAACGCGTGCCAGCGAAATTGGCGAAAAGGAAACCACCGCAAAACGTTACGGATCTATGCCGTTCTTCAAGATCCGATTCATTGACAACGATCCAAACCGGACAACGGTCCACCAAGACGAGGTTTACATCAAACGTTTTGGTTGGCTATCGGCTCGTTACCGCCGGACCAGATGGTGGTTCTTCGCCTGCTGGCTAAGCTACCAATTCATTCGGGCCTGCTTCATTGGTGGCGGAGCACGAAGCCCCCTTGCCCAAGTTTATGGACTATTCGTCTTCGAGATCATCGCTTTCATTGTCTTTGTCAAGCTTAACCCCTTCGAGGGCCAAAGAAATACTTCCTTGGCAATCTGGATGCTGGGCATCACAAAGATTGTCACTGCAGGATTTTCCATTGCCTTCTTACCCGCATTCGCCATTGGTCGCATCCTCTCTACAGTTTTCGGCATTATCATCATTGTCGTCCAAGGATTTCTTGTTGTTGCCGTCTTGATTCTTATCGTCTTAGGTGTCATATCATCATGGATGTCGCTTTACCGAAATCGCGAACAGTTCCCCGAAGTGCTGGATGGAATTCGCATCAAGTACTACGAGCATATCCAGGCTAGAGCCACTGACCTGCCGCCACCACCGAAACCAGATCCGAAGACTGAAGAGCCTCGGGAGCCACCGCAGCCATATTTCTCGGTCAACAACGTTCGCCGGACTCGCAAGATTGAGGACGATGACGAAGAAGACCAGGTTGGAGATATCATTCGGCCAGCCAATGCTTCAGTGGTACAATTTGCGCCAGGTACTACCACCACACGACGAACCCGGACGGATAGCGTCAGCTCGCGGTACTCTGTTGGTAGCTTGCCGCGCCGCGCCAGACCACACCGCACTTCATGGAGTTCAGCTGATTTTGCTGAATGGGATGCCAACAATAATGCGGATCGGCCAGGGTCATCGCTCGCACACCGCAGCAGCTTCGGCCATCAGCGCAAAGTGTCGCACTCTGGATCGCAACCTGACCTCGGACGCTCCGCCAACAACTCGCCGGCGCCTGCAAGATCCGTGTCGATGACGAACAACGAGCTACGCCGGCTCATGACTCCCACCGAGGAACTTCCAGAGGAGAGTGTAATGACACCCGGGAGCATGGCCGAGCCCGAGACCAGCACCAAACACACTGATACCGCCATTTCCCCCATCCACGAAAAGGACGAGCACGAAGCCAGGGAGGAGAATGTTTCTCCTGTTGAGGATAAACCCCAAAAGTCCTGAGCTACCATAACGAATATCAGAACGAAAATGGTTTCACAACCATACTGCATCAGACCTTGACACCACAAGCGCCTCCATTTCGAAGATGTGTCGACATTGGTTTCCTTGTCGTGGAATTGCACTGCATAGACGGTCAACATATTTGACCTTTACGAACTTTCATGAGAAACGATTACTGGGCGTTAGCGGAAATGCTCATCTGAAGAAGAAGAAGAAGAAGAAGAAGAAGAAGAAACCCCATATCTTTGTAATGGCACTAATGTGTGGAGGACAGGCCGGCCATTTCGGCCGTTGCTCACATCTTGGAACGTGCACATATTTGTGTGGCCTCTGGATCAGCCGCAGTACATGGATACACACTTATAAAAGCACGAAAGTGGCTGGCTCTCAGCATAGAAATTGAGTTGACAGGTAGACCTAGAAAACAGCATAAAGTCTTCCCTAACATAAAGTCGTCTTAAAAATGGCATAAGCTGTTCCTTTATGTGCACAAAAAACACTCCCAAATCCCGCTGGTTACCTTTCTTCAAGCTTTCAAGCTTATTGGACCAAGGTGGTTGATATAGAGCTTTCTGAATATCTTTGGCCTGTCATTCACCGTAGGAGATCAAGACGCAAAGGTAAGTGGCACCGCCACGTATTCATCCCAACTCACTCGCGCCACGAGAAGGGTGCTTTGTGCTCAAAGGTGGCAAGTAGATCGCAAGGCTACTTGTGGCGAGGAGATTTGGTTATGAGGCTCATCCTCTGCGGAATTCATGCAAAAGATGGGATGAGTTGTTACGGAGTCGGGCAATGATGGCGAGTAAGATTCGAGCTGGTGAGTTAGGGCGCATGGTTATCAGATGGGGGGACATGTGGCTTTCAACTGTCTAGCGTAGTATTGTCGACTGAGGAGATAAGTTTCTGCGAATGGCTACTAATACTACTACTTTGGTTGTCTCCTTATTATAAGCCAAGACACATTGGGTTGCGCGCAAAGAAACAACCATGCACGGTATAGCTCTGAAATTGTTCATGACGTGCACCTTTAGATATCTCTCAAGATTAATGAAGTAACAAGCGGAATTGGCTTCACATGTTGATTAGTTTGGGAAGCTCAATCATGAATTAATTCAGTATCGCCCGTTGAAGCGGAGGGCGTTCCGGTGCGGCCTAGCAGCGCCACAGTCACCAATTGCGGAGGAACATTCCTTAACTTCTACGCCTCGACGGCACCTAGTGCGGGGCAGCCACGCACCATCGGGACTCTGAGTTCGACTACTAGGCGGATGCGAGTGCGAGCCGGGAGAACCTGGTATGCTCGCCGCCACTTACACTCTGACCGTCCAGTGTTCACCACGTACGTCCCTTGCTATCAATCAGGATTAGATACGTTGTGAAAGAACAGGTGCCAAAAGAGACGGCCTGCTTCATACCAGATAAGAGAGACATGAAGTGCGAGAGCCTCTCGTCATCTCCCTGATATTAGACGAATGGAGGGGCGCGGGGTGAAAGTCTGTCCGACAACGCGTGTCGCAGAAACATCCCACAGAAGCCTTTCGCCAGCCACACACATGCCCTGTACTTCTCGCATCGAGCCGCGACGCCTTCATCTGAAGTTTTGGGTGTATGTCGGACCCCCGATTTCGATTCGGCACTGCCCTGCTGTTCTATGCTGTCGTATTCGCTAGCTACCATGTTCAGCTGCCCATGTCTTCGCACCCCTTCGTCATTGCTCACATCATCCTGTGTTGGCCCCCCGGACCCCGACCCCGATCTTTAACCCTTCCTTGGAAACAGGTTAACATTGACAGGTCTATATCAAGCTTGACTCCCGGCTTCGATCTCTTCCTGCATCTACACTAGAAACATAGTCTCCAAATCAAGCAACAGAAGCAAACACCACTTCTCCTACTGTCACAAACCGCAATAGCCTACCAACAGCCACATCTTCTAGGTTTTTCCAGACAAAAACAACAAAAATGTGTTGTCGAAGACGCCGCGCAGCCCGCCAAGCCTGGCTCGAACAACGCGCCCTCGCAGGCGGTCCCCGCGGCTGCGGTGGTGGCCCCCGCCACTTCGGCCCCGGCCCCGGAGGCCCACCCTTCCGCCCGCCCTGGGCATCAGGGGGCGGCTACGGCGGAGGCGGCGGCGGTGGGCCCCCCTTTGGCAGATGGCGCGCCATCCCACAAGACAACGTCCCCCAAGACCCCTTTCGAGATCCTCCCGCCGCTCCCCGAAACGACCCAGCTACCAGAGACCCGGAAAAGGGCGGCGCCCTCGAAATGAACGTCAAGGACGTGGAGAAGAGCACGCCCGCTCCCGTCCCTGCTCCAGTTCCAGAGGGCGACTCGAAGAGGGTGTCGTTCATGTCTGGTCCGTTTTCGCGGTGGAGGGAGTCCGTGAGGAGCGGTGGTGGTGACGTGAGGAGGTCGTCTTCGAATGCGACGTTGCCTCCTAGGTATACCTCTGGCGTCCCCGAGGCGCCGCCGTACTGGAGCGGTGAGCAGGCGGGGGATAGACGGTCCTTGCCGCCGAACTACGATGTGGCAATTAAGAACTGAGGGAGAGGATGACTTATGGAGGATGTATGACGGGATATATTGTAGCGTGTCCTGTGGACAACGTTGATGGGTTAGGTATGCGCGTAAAGGGTAGCAAATGTATACAAAGTTGGAAAAGGTGGTATTGATCTTTTACAATATTACAGAGAATTATACGTAGTACGTTGTTTGTCGCAATTGTTCGCACTGGGTATTGTAGAGCGTGAATCCAAAACAAAACGAGAAAAATCCTTCCAACGCCCTGCACCATCGCTCGAAAAATGAAGCAATTAATTGTACCGTGTCCCACGTGTAGTAGAGCAGAAGAACGGTTCGTTCGCCGAGATACTTTGAAGCTGAAGGCTCAGGCTCAAACTCAATCCCAATCCTCGTACCCGCCAGCTCCGTATGGATTCCACTCCTGACCGGGGTAACTCGTCGCGCTCATCTGGGGCACATCCGCCGGCTCCTCTTCCTTCCTGTACTTGACCCCTCCCGACGACAGCTCCTCGTAGGGGTCGACCAGAATCTTCTCCTCCTGGGCCTCACGCCGCATGGTCCTCTGACGTTCATCTTCCGTATCCTCCAGCTCGGCTCTTGTGCTCTTGCCCCTCGCCAGGGTCGTCGAGGCCGCGGCGGCGCCTGCGCTAGCGCTGCCGTTGGCGTGACTGGCGTTTCGGGGCGCTTCGTCGGCAGAGCTGTCGCTGACCATGCTGTGGCCCGTGTTTGCAGCGACTATTGGCTGTGCTGCTGCCGGCGGCTGAGAGGGGTTGGAGGGCAGACGCGGTGTGGATTCGTAGAGGTCGTTGTTGTCTTTGGGTTCTTGGTTTGCTTGCTGCACGTTGACGCTGAGGCGAGGTGCCGTGGGTGCTGATGCTGGCGCGGGCACTGACGGTTCAGACGATATGATGTTCTCCGCCGGCCGTTGCTTGTCGTCGGAAACACTACGGGAGTTGGTTCCCGTAATACTACCAGCATCGATTGCAAGCCCTTGCGTCTGCTGAGCGTGCTCCTGAGGATGGGGAGATGGAGGCTTGTCATGCGCGCTTCGGACCACATTACTGGCATGCGTTTGCCCTTCAGCAGAGTTGGTCTGTTGCTTCCCCTGAGCCTCTCTGCCATTACTGTGATGCATCTGGGGAGATGCTGCGACAGGAGCCGGCGCATCGACTAGGGAGTATCGTTGCTGTTGGGGCTGTTGACTTGGCGGCATAGTTTGCTGACCAAATTGCGAGTCCGGACCCGCGATACGGCTGTCGTTTTGGTTCACTAATCGTATTCCTTTCGGGTCTTGTTGTGGCTGATGTTGCTGATTGGGAATTGGCACATCACCTTGCGGACCGACATGGGCCGCCTGCGTGCTGTGGCTGGCATGCGAAATGTTGGACTGGTGGGAGGCCATGCTCACGCGCCGGTCACCCTCGGGCCATGCGCCTCCCTGTGAATGGCTGTGAAGCAGCTGCTGTCCTTGCTGTATGGGAGGGCTGGGATGGCTGTACATTGACATTTCAGACGGATGCCTTTGAGCAACAGGAGGCTGGCCCCATTGTGGCACCTGCGGTGAATGGTACGCAGGATACTGCACCGGTGGTGAGGTACGTGAGAGGGCGTAGGGAGATGGCGCTACGCCTCCTTCACCGTGAACGGCATCATATCCTCGAGGGATAGGGACTTGGTCGTACTGAGGTTCAACGTAAGGTTGGGGGTTGGAGCGTACGCTTCCACTTGGCCCAGGACCGCTCGGAATTGCCCGAGTCATGACAGGTTCGAAAGGTACGTCATGTTGGCTTGAGAATCTTCCGTTGCTCTGCTGCATCACTTCGGGGGTTCTGCCAGCCACGTCGCGTTGAGGGGGAAGCCCTTGCTCAAAGGAACCCATGGACGGGCGCTGTTCTTGGTACATGTGATGAGGTCCTTGTTGTGGTAGGTGACTTCTCTGTGATAACGGAACAGCTGGTGGCATCCTTTGCTGTCCCTGGCTCTTGTGAGACTGCTGCAGCTGCGGTTGCGACTGCATGTTTTGAACCTGGCTTGGATGTGGCATCTGCTGTTGTGGTCGAGGTTCTGGCTGCTTGGATGATCGCTTAAATGCACTGAAAATGGACTTGGTTGTCGACTCTTTCTGGGGGCCTTGGTTAGGCCGAGGCTGTGGCTGTGTTGAGGTCCTGTTCTTGAACCACTTGGATACTGGGTTCTGTTGACCATCTACACTTGAGTCTTGACCGCCCGATTGCATGTCTTGGCTATGGTGAAAAGGGAGCGAAGAACGCTGATTCGGTGGGGGAAACGCTTGAGAGAATTGAGCTGGAGGTCTGATTTCAGCATCAAAGCCCTGGTGCTGATGCTGAGGTTGATGTGGGTGTTGTTGGTGTTGGTGTTGGTGTTCATGTTGATGTTGATGTTGAAGAGAATGCTGAGAGAGCTGAGGCTGCTGCTGCTGCTGCTGCTGAGGACGTCCTGGAGAAGCCACTCCAGCCATTTGCGGACTCATCCCGTCAGGCTCCTGAATGTTGGCAGGTCCACCAGGCTGCGTATGCCCCTGAGACGGATCCTGCGGGGGCGCTCGGCTTTCAGATGCCAAAGGTGCCCTCAGAGCCGGCATCTGAGTAACAGCCGCCGGGTTGGGCGAGTTCGATTTCGAGGACTGTTGCGAGGTATCAGACGGGCCGATGACCCCATTGGGAGATTGTGCCCTGAAGTTGGAGGAGGGAGACAGCAGTGATGCAGATTGCTCCGAGATTCGCCTGGCGTGACCAGACTTCTGGACGCCGAGAGCCTGTTGGTGATTGGTGCCTTGCCCCTGGCCCAGAGGCGGTGTCTGGGGCCCCGGCGAGTTCTCGCGTCCGTAGCTGTGTCTGATCGATGGCTCTGGCGTTGGCTCGGCCGAGAATCCGGGAGGAACCCAGTGGGTTTCGGTCTGGTCGTCTGACGGCTCAGGGCGCGAGAGTTGCTCCTCGGCCTGCAGGAATGAAAGAGAAGGCTGTCTCTGCTCAGTGAGACGGCGACGTCCCGGCGATGGTTGTTCTCTTTGTGATGGGGGCGCCGGAGCATCAAACGATTGTGAGGGATGTGACTCCATATTCAACATCTGACTGGACTTTCTCCGTGAGACATGTTCATCATGCACTTCATGACCACGCGCGATAGGAGCTTCACGGCGTTCGCTCTGCAAGTCTGACACCGGGCGTGCTCGCGCTTCTTCCAATGCGGGGCTTCTCTGTTGATCTGTCACAGCAGCGAATTGCTGTGACGGTTGAGGAGAGGGCAAGAAAGACCCGTTGGACTTTCTCTGATGAAGTTCAGGTCCCTGAGGCTGGGACTGAGGCTGAGATTGAATTCGCGCGCCAGCTCCCGGGTGCATGGAATAGCCTTGGAAGCGAGGCGACTCCTGCTGTTGCTGCTGGCCGAACCCCTGAGGCGGGCTTCGTATAGGCGGCTGGCCTTCATCCTCGCGCCTGGGTCCAAGGTTTGACGGCGGCAGCTGTTGACCGGTGTGCTGCTGCAATCTGAATTGCGCCGGAACACTTGCGTTCTGATCCTGTTCTTGAGGTAATCCATGCTGGGTCTCGGTCGTCTTGTGGGCGGCGCGTTTACCAAAAAGCCCAGAGAAAAACCCGCCTGCTGAGCTTCTTCTGCCTCGTTCGTCATCTTCGACATTGCCCAACGGCTTATTCACCAGGGTTTCCTGTGCAAAAAGCTGATTTGTGCCAGTAGTGTTACTCCTCTCTCTCCCCTGCGCGGCTAAGGGGCTAGGTTTGCCAGGCTGACTTCCCTGCGTGCTTGGCGGGCGACCAAACATGGTCGGAGTCGTAGTGGAATGAGATGTACTAGGTTTCTGTGGCACCTGTAAATCCTGCTGACTTGAACTACGAGGGAACACCTTGCTCGTAAAGCCGGAGAACCGCTTCTTAGGAGGGCCCATTGCTCCGCCTGCAACTTCATATCCAGCAGTGGACGTTGAGGAACGAGACAGGTTGGGCATTGGGAGATTGGCGGATTGATCGGCACCCGGACCGAAGAATGACCGTTTTCTCTCCGCGGGCCCTCCCGGTGGTGGTTGCTGGACCTGGGACGGGCCGCCCGGGTTCGGGCTCGCCTTTGGTGACGGCGAAATCCCTTCACCTCCATCACGACCCTGGGGCCCTCCCACATCCGAAGGTTTAGAACCCCGTAAGTTGAGGAAGAAGCTTGAACGTCTTCTCTGGCGGTCTTGCAACTCTCCAGTGGCAACGCTCGCCTCGGACATGGCATCACCTCGCACGTCTGGACCGGCCACGTAGCTTGGCGCTCCACTCTCGGCCTTGGATGCTGGGCGTTCCCGCGAGGTGTGACGCGAGATGCGACCTCCAATTTCTTTGAAGAAGCCAGAGCTTCGCTTGCGCCCACGCTCTTCATCTATTGAGGGATCGAAGCCGCTGACTTCTGAGTCGCCAGTTTGTGTCCTGTACAGCGAGGCAGAGTCGCGGTTGTAGAAATGTTGGCCAAGGTCTTCCGAGCCTCGTGGCCCTGTGGGAGAGCTGGGGTTTTGATATCCTGCTTGCGGGGTGAACAGGCCAGGATAACGCTGCGCTGATGAAGGAGGCACTTCAGAGAACTTTTGCCTAGGGGGCAACTGCGTCTCGGGTCGTTGCGCCGCCGTTGAAGGCACACCAGTCTCTTTATCGATCCCGAAGGAGGTTTGCTGGTGAGGCGACAGCGATCCTCCCGACTGCCGGTTTCTGCTGGTTGCCAGTGGCTCAGACAAATGCGACTCCTCAAGCTTCCATGGGCCTTGTGGAGGGAGGTGATGGATCGGGTTGCCTCCGAAAGTTGGGGACATTATCCCTTGATGAGGAGGCATGCCTGGACCATAGGGCGGACCGCTCGTTCGACCCTCATTCTGTTGCATCGCTGCTCTTGTGTCAATGGGTCCTGGTACACGGCCGGCGCCCTTCATTGCTACTCCCGGCCCAAGAGGTCTCTTTTCATCATCAATTCTGAGATCCTGCCCTGTCATCCCACTACTCTCAGTCGCCAGCGTA